TTATTTAATTATTTTTATTATCATAATTGTTTTTTCCAATCATCTAAAACATAATTGCAACTTGGACATTGTCTTTTATTTTTTTCACGGCATTCATTATAACATAAAAAGCACATTCTATGGTGACATGGCCCCAATGTTTTTGCGACTGCTGTATCAAAACCTGCTTCTACTTGCCTGCATTTGACACAAAGTTCCTTCTTGTTATCACCTTCCTGATTAGCTACAGTCCCTAAAGTAAACCAATTAAAATTTTTAAATAACATATATTTTAGAAATTTCTTCAGAATTAAATTTCTGAAATTTAACATCTGTATTCGGGACAGATGCTACATTGAGAAGGCATTGATAATGAACCTGGGAAACTTCAGTCTAAACACGCTATAACTATACCACGCAATGTCAAGAACTTCAGCAAATATTTAGGGATATGTAATAGACCCCCTCACCAAACTACTCAAAATGGGGAAAAGTGGTCGTGGGCTCGCACATCAAAATGCATCTCAGGTGTTTTTATTTTGGTGTTTTGTATATTAAATTCACCCTATGCTAGTTATACAAAAAACGGTGTATATTAGTATGCCTTCAGCGACTGAATCATAGTGTATATAGTTGTTCGCGTCGGATTCAACTGTAACACGTCATGAACTGGAGATGGGGAACTATTCCGAAATATTCACTAATATATGCGCTATTTATGCGTTTGACGCACTGGACTATATTTAATTTAGTTTTAAGGAGCGCCAGGTCAGACTAAACTTTTATGTTTGTATAAATTTTAGCTGTTTAGAATAACGTATGTGACATTTTAATGCTAAATTTTATTACATTGTTTAAATACCATAGATTAAGCTACAAATTATTATTGTTATTCCATTCGCTAATAACAATAGAATACAAAACACAGCGCGCAACATTTTTATTTGAATTTTATTACATTTTGTATTTAATATTTAATTTATTAACCAGCAGACGAGATTTAACTCGTCGAGCGGTCGTCCGAGTATTTCGCGTCGCACATTTGTTGTCTATTGTTGTTTTTGTGTTTTATGTAAACATTGTAAATGTATGTAAATTCAAGGACGCTTGAACATAGTTATAGTGACCATAATGAAGTACAATTAATTTACGTAATTGTAAAAATTGAAGCGCCAGGTTATTACAGTAGGGCAAGTTTTACACAATTACAGTAACGAGCAAACTGGCTACCCCCGTCCGTACTCTTCCTAGTAATGGAAGGAAAACGGCTGGATTACTAGTCAGTACAACACATAGAATCGTCACCATCGTAGATTGGTGTGCGAACAACAAGCCACAAAGATCAACACCAAGCCACCAACTGGCTAGATCAATACAAAATATAGCGCTCAGCACAGTTTCGCGTGCCAACTCTCAACCGCCCCAGCCAGACTTACCAGACGAATAGAAATTTGAACTGCCCGTCTACTTAGCCCATATTCATAACCCCTTTCTACTGTCAAAAAATTATATTATACAATACTGAAAATATATGTATTAATAAGTAAACATCTTACCACTTGTACTAGCTGCTCCATATACTATTCACAAAACAATTAATATTAATATTCATCAATATGACATTATTATTTGATTTATCTATTTATAGAAGAGTTTTTACCCATATTTTTGAAAATGACACTTTGTTTAAATAAATATGTTTTGTAACTATAAACGCTTTATTCACTCTTGAAAAGAGTTAAATTGCATTCATTGAATTATGGTGATTCAAAGGTTTTAAGGTATTTATGTAAAATATGCTTTAAAATAAAATTATTTTTAGTATGATTTATTGAATGTACTACTCTCTATATTTTGTTAATTAATGGATTTTTTATAACAATGTAAAATTTAATTTAATCTAATAAATATTGTGAATAACCAGTATATTGTAAAAAAAAATTATACCTATTTTTTTATTATATGGGTAACTTCCGAAAGTTAAATGTGAACCTATAATTATTTTTAGCTTCGATGCGAAGCTTAGAAGGTATTAATTTTACTATGATGTGTTTTTTTTTTTTTTTGTCTGTTACCACTTTTTCTCAGCTCTCACCAAACCGATTTCTTTCAATGATACGTCAAAAGATCACAAATTGTATCTAGTCGAAGACATTACCATCAAAAATTGAAAAAACTTCCCTCGTTCCCCGTAAATAGGGGAAACCTCAAAAAAAATTACAAATTTAAAAACCACTAATTTTCGAAATGTTTTCAATCTTTTTTACTAAAAACTGCCATAACTTTTTCAAAAATGAACATATTAACATCATTTTTTTTTTATAGATGCTTGATGTCTTTACCTATCATTTGGTATATCTTTTTTTTATAAATTTGACCCTAGACATGCCCACATGGGCGGGGATTTAAAATGACAACTTTTTCACAAAAAATTAACTTTTTCAACTTAACTTTTGAAAATGTTCCGGAAGGTCTGACACTTTTATATATATCTTAAATTAAAGCTAATGTAATATACTTTAATTTGAAAAAAAAAAATTTGACCTCTGGACTTGTCTTCACGGCGAAAATGGCTACCGAATGCTATTTTCGTGTGAAAATTCTCGATTTTATTATTTATATTATATTTAACTTTATAATGCTATAACTTATTGAAAAGTTTATGGATCCACACAATTTTTTTATGAGAAATAATATTTTTTAATAAACCCTTTTTCATTCGACATACTTTATCTTAATCGAGATATTAATAAGGAACCAGCAGATCAAGTAGCTTTTGGAATATATAAAACACCAATTTTTTTAAAATTAAACACTAAAGATTTGCATCGAAGCGTTTTTTTTTTACAGTGATTTTAATCACTGTCAGATATCATAATACTTGATCCAACTATGACACGTCACCACTGTGCCGCGATCCCCCTGTGCTGGGTTTTTTTTTTTTTGTGTCTGTTGCCACTTTTTCTCAGCTCTCACTGGATCGATTTCTTTCAACGATACGTCAAAAGATCACAAATCGTATCTAGTCGAAGACATTACCCTTCAAAATTGAAAAAATTTCCCTCGTTCCCCGTAAATGGGGGAAACCTCCAAAAAAATTACAAATTTAAAAATCGCTAATTTTCGAAATTTTTTCAATTTTTTTTNGCCTCGTTCCTCGCAAATGGGGAAAATATCCAAAAAAATTACAAATTTAAAAATGTTTGCGATCAAAATCACCTTCTATCAGAATGTTTTTTGTACTTAAAACTCCCATAACTTTTTCAAATATTAACAAATCAAAATAATATTTTTTTATATTGAAACCTTAGATAATTACCTTTCATTTGATATCATTTTTTTGAAAATCTAACATTATTTTGCTCACAGGGGGGATTTAAAATTGCAACTTTTATACAAAAACTAACTTTTTCAACTGAACTTTTGAAAATGTTCCGGAAATACTGCGTCCTTTAAACATATGTCAAATTAAAGCTTACGTCATGGACTATAAAATTAAAAAAAAAATTGTCCCGACGACCTATCTTCTATGCACAAAAGGCTACCGTATTCAAAAATACGTTAATTTTGTAATACAATTCTGGGTTTTGTATTTTATTTTATTTTAAAATATCTTATTCGTTGTCTAATACTAATTATTCCTTAACTCCACTACATTAATATAATAACAATAAGGGTTCGTAACAGTACTTATACCCCTAAGAGAAAATTATATTATATCATTTTATTCAATAAATAAATAGTAACTCAATTATTCTCATGCTCATACAAGACCAACCAGTAACACATTTTATTACATCATTTTTAATCATACTAATAATTATATTAAATAAATCAATTTTACATTTACATTCATTTTTTTGAGTTAGTATACATGTCTACTTTGTGCCATGCCCTCATTGTGCTACATGGTTAAATAAAACATGTAAATTAATTGCTTTAAAAAAGTAAAATATTTATAAAATATTAGAATTACCTTCTGGTTCATAAAAACTGGATGATAATAAAATAACGAATAAAACGAGCATTGTCGAGAAAAAATTTACTAAAGTAAAATTTTTAATTATGATTCACTAAATTAATTAAAACATGCTGAAATAGCAATTAACTGCACATAATATTTTAAACTTTAAAATGAAGTAACTCTACACTTCAATTTATATCAAGAAATTTTTTTAGTAAAATAAAAATTTACAATTGTACAAACAATCATATAAATAAAAATGATTAATTATTATTGACAATATTCATTAAAAATTGTAAGGTTACATAATAACTTCTAAGAAATTATTTTTCCTCAATGTGCACCTTACACAAATATCTTTTAATAGTTTTTAGATTGAAAATATATTACGTAATACAATGGTTCAATTTGACGATTTGGATAAAGGTCTTCTAGATTTAAAAAAGTATATTAATGTTTGCGAACTTTTTGTTAAAACAATTTAAAATATATTTACCAAACAATGACAAATTTTTCAAAAATAATTTAAACTAACACATGTGTTAGTTTTGAATTGTACTTTTTTAGTAAGAATGATATAATATTGTTATTTTATGACATAAGGTTTTAACTAGAGTGTGAATAAATAAATAAATAATTTTATCTTATAATAAAATAGCTAAAGAAAATTATCACGAATAATAAGCATTGGAAATTTAATTAAATTAAAATAAATTTATAGTTATAATGAAATAGATGTTGTTTATTTATTTTGATCGCATATATAATATGAAAACATTATTACATTGGTTAATTGTGTTAAGTGTGTATTGGGGTAGTAGAATGATTCCTTTAAGAGATATAAAAGAATAGGTCAAAATATATACTACACATTTTACTTAACAATATTACACATAATAAATATAATAAAAGTATGTGAGTATGTGTTTAGCGTTGATAATGGTAACATTGTTTCCGAAATATGTATCCGCGACTTTTCATTAATTTTTTGTGGCTTTGAGTTTAATATTTTCTAGTTTTTTAAATTAATAATATTTTTAATATAGTTTTAATTTTAATTAATATTACATAAGATGACATTTATTTGTACATTAAAATAAAAGTCGAAATAAAAATTATGTAAAATATATTGAACTCGATAATAGTGTCGGCAAAACGCAAGATTGTAGTTTATTGTAACTTCCAAGTTTAAAAATTATAGAGCTATGAATGTACCATTTAAACAATATAACTATGTGACATATTAAATTGATGTAATCGTCAATGAAGCATAGTAAATGAAATATCGTATGAGATAAACCTCACGTATGTATCCATGTAAATTAAATAGTTTATTAGTTTAGAAATGTATATATTATATTGGTCGATGTAACAAAAATCGCATTGTAGCCCCCAACAAATACTGATCTACCTAATATTACCTGTGCAGTAAATCTAATATGAATAAGCACTAGCTATTTCGAAAAACAGGCCCTCCATCCACCACACAAATGCAGTCTGAAAATTAAAAAAATCAATTTAATTAATACCAATAGTATTACCATTAACTGAAAAATATATTAATATTACAATTTCCGTAAAATGATCAATCACACACATTCAACATACATGTATAAAAAAAATACATATAGATTGTATGAACTGACAAATCAACATAATGATTATTGTATGCAAATTAAATCAATTAAAATGTAATAAGAATAACTCTAAATTAAGAAAAGTAAATAATAATAAACTTTTTGTTAACGAATGAAAATTAATTACCTGTACAATAAACGAAAAATTTGACATGACACCGTATATTTTGCAATACGTTTAATACACGGTCACCTCGTATCTTCCATGAGCCGCCTTATTACAACGCGAGCCCAGCCTTATTAGAGCTCCTCCGCTATTTAATTAGGGTGCAAAGTCTATCTACTGAACGCCGGCGGTGATCGCTCAATCTTGCTTTTGTCGCCCTACGTGAATTATCTCTATCCGTCGATCGCACGTCGTACATTGAATGTTTTTTATCTATAGAAAAATCTTAAGTTTTACTTATTTATACTTGTTTTTTTTCTTTTGTTTAATTTTAAATAAATATATATATATATATTTATTTGTTTAACTTTCTTTTTTTTTCAGTCAGTGCCGTAGCATATGTTATTGAGACATCATTGTGCGTTTGTGTGACTTAAATTATATTTATAAAATTTATTGACACTAAAATTATCCGTGTCAAATTATATCATAATGACAATTGCTGTGCAATTGTCCATCGCGTCCAAGAGTATAAATGACATGTATACAGGGTGATTGACTAACTATGCCTCACGAATTTTCTTTAAAAATATTAGTGTTATCATATATGTAGTTTTAGGTTTAGTTTTTATCGAAGTAGACATAATGCCCTTGCACTCATACCTGTTGGTCCATTTTGCACACCTCATATCGAATTGGACCGGGGTTCTTGATAAACATTTTGGATTGTCTAGGTACTACCAAGTACTTCCAGATTTTCCTGTGTTGTTCTCTGCAACAATTCTTGGGTAGTGCTTTGAGCGATTGCCCGGTAAGTCCTACCACTGGTTCTGATCCAACATAGGTGTCTCTGCTCCTTTCTTGGCTAGAAAGTCAGCATTTTCATTTACAGTGACACCTTTGTGTCCTGTACCCACGCTACTGTAACTTTGTTGAACCTCGATAGTGATTCTAAAGTTTGACATCAGACCTTAAAAAAATAAAATAATTTTGGGATAATAAAAAAAAGTTTAATCTGAAATAAAGTTATTTGGAGAGACATAAGCATCTTAGTAAGAACCGCTGGATTTTGTCTATACTCCTAAGTTCGTAAGCTTTTGAGCTATGAAGGAGCTTCCATCACATGGGCTCTCAATCGTCGGCTACCAAGCGGTTCCTATGAGAAGCCCGGCCATGTCATCGACTTCTTGAATAGTTTCGGGGCCCCAAAGTAATACCATCCATGTTCTCAAGGTCTGTTCTGAATGCTAATGTATATTATGTGTATATTGTTTAAAAAAAAATGCCGAACAGTATTAACTGGCTCGCTCTATTAGTAACAATTGTAATTTTATAAGTAATGTGTATTCAATGAAATCACAAAATGTCATACAAAGGAATTTACTGATAGAAATATATGAAAAAAATCCCTTATTCAAATGTGTCACGTTTTCCTAATGCGTAGGTATAGCTAGGGCTGTGGCGACTGTTGACTGTAAAGTGTTATTCATTTTGTGTTTGACCTATTGGGACTGACCATGCGTGCTGTGTTATATTGAAAAATTCATTTGGTAAGTACCACATCAAAATACTTTTTTAATATAATTAATAATAATCAAGGTTTTTATTTACCACAAATATTGTTTCAAACTCAATTTTATAAAATTCCATACTAGTTATTTTTCAAATAAATTATGTAGAAAGTAAATTTTTTTAAACCTCGTATATCGTGCATTTTCTATCATCTTAAAGTATCGATTATAAATAATTTCAAAATACATAATAAATAAAAAGTAGTGGAGCTAAGCCGATCGAAATAATAAAAGCCATGTTATAACATTGTTTTGTTAAGTAGAGTAAAATTATGCCATTATAAAAATATGTCGATCTAGATGTCGCACAGTTGCTTGGCATACACGTATATCGCATTACAATGTACTTGGGCCCCATGTCGTCGACAATTCAATACAGGCACCTAAGACACAACCTCCTCCTCGCACCGACCCATTCATGATAATATTGAAGTATATTGGCGTTAACACGCAGATACACTGCCCGCGCGCAATTCCGGTAGAACGAAGAAATCATGNATGCTATTCATGATAATATTGAAGTATATTGGCGTTAACACGCAGATACACTGCCCGCGCGCAATTCCGGTAGAACGAAGAAATCATGAGTTAAAGACGAAACTTAGTGCATTATTGAACGAACCAATTCATATTTTTTGAGACTTTTAACTACCACCACTATTATTACTCTGCTATTGCTTTCCTGAAAAATTTACTGAAATGGACTGCTACTGTTTTTCTTTTTATCCTTAATTTATCTAATTACAATTTCAAGAGGTTACAAATGAAACCTGTTTAGTAATTATAAAATTAACAATAACAGGAAACATTAACACAAAAATAAAAATAAAAATTCAACGTGCTAAAAAACTATATTAATACGATTAAATGTAAAATTAAACTAGGTAGGTCACACAAGTTTATGAAAGGATCAAATTACATGTGATGGTTAATTACATCAACAACAATACAATTAATAAATTTGATGCCGCTCAATTAAATAATAAAACGTACAAAATTAGATATCCGCCATTATCGCAACAGTATAAAGCGGCAATGGCTTCACAGGCCGTTCTCGCGGAATAGTGTTAAGTGAGCGGTATGCATAGTATGGTGTTACGATGATGACTTCAACGTATAATGGCGGCGGTCCTTATCGGCCGTGGCATTTACTGGACGTTGTACAGTGGCCATCCTTTTGCGGTGTTGGTTATTCAAACTACCATGTACACGTAGTAGGGCCACGGCAGACAAAAGTGACGTGGTCATGGTCTCCGTATATCGTAAAGAGTCGCGGGACCGTGTCAAATACCCTCCGCCGAACAATAACAAGATGGCCGAGTGGGTAACGCAGTCGTGATGTGATTCATGAATGATTTTATTTATGCCGCGATGGCATTGAAAACAGCAAATAGTTACGTTGTTTGTGAGTTTGTGTGCACAGTTTGCCCTATACAAACTGCGTATGGTTGTTGCCCGAATTTCACGATCGAGGAGAGGGATAGGTATACGTTTTTTAATATTAAATAAAGTAGGATTGTCAGATTACTTGTGATGGCGGAACGGATAAAGGAGAAGGGAGGAATTAAATTAGATACACCTTGATTATTGAATGGAAATAATTGTATGAAAAAATATGTAAGTTCTGCAAATAAATTCTTAAACGTAATGGGCAGAGAGGGTAACTTACATACTAAAGTAGAAAACCATCAAACAATTGAATAAATATTAAATCAATAAATTACATTAATGAACATATCATTGTGAAAACTTGAGGATAACGGCGAGGACGGTAAATGAATAAGAAATCCAATTGTGTGAATTGTTAATCATACGAGGTAGAAGTAAAAACGCAAAAAATCCGACAGATTAAATAACGCACATTAGAAATGTTTAAAACAAATTAATAAAGAACAAAGATAAAAAAAACTAAAACTGATAGTGCACGAGTGTCGATTACTAGAGGCGCGAGACGTGTATAAAGAATACATTAGAGTGTAAAGACTATAGCCGTAAAAAAACTATAACAAAAATGACAGACACTCGCCGTGAAAGGGTCGACGCCCGGACAACGGGTAAACGAACTAACCGCACACGAGCGCCATGAGAGATGTAAGGACGTGGTACTAGAGATTACCACTCTCTATCTAACAGAAGGTTCGCGCGTAACGGACTTTGGTGTAGTCGTCCGCATTTCGTAGTCAAAGGTATTTAGGGTGTGGAGGGCATTATTCCTACTCGGGAGATATTGGAGAGTCCAAGGACGGTGGCAGGAGAAAAAGGAATCAATTTCATCATTTAGATTGGGGTCCCTAGGTCCTACTGCTCCTTCTCCTCCTTGATGCTGACTCTCCCTCTGTTGTTGTCGTGGCGTTTATGCTCGGATGATGAGTACCGTCGCACCACGAAAGCGTTGCAAATGACCGTCATGATGAACGGTAGTGGTGGCAGTGATATAGGGCCGCTCAGAGCGGAATAACATCAAGAATCGTTGTGATACCAGTTCGCGTATCGCAGTCGGGTACCATGTCTCTTTCCAACTGGGGTAACATGTTAGGGAGTCATCGTGGCATTGCCAAATTACCCCTTGTAATTTGCTAATGATACGGCGATTCACGTGCCGCCCCAATACATATACGCAAAAGTCAGTCTAGTAAAAAAATATGTTCATTATAATATTATTAGTTCTCATACCGCTGAGCAAATAAACTGTGTTCATATCTAGTTTTTGTTGTAATTTGTAGCAAAATAATTTTTTGGCTCGTGTATTTATTGTTTATATTTATCATCCAAGCAAATTTATAACACAAGTGTTACTATGACTATATATATTATAGTAAATAATACATGTAAAACTTTAAATTCTAAGTTAAATTTTAATAATTTAATGATATAATTTTTATTCTGTATTAGCTTACTTGATGTACTTTAATTTCAACGATAAAAAATATTACTTTGTCAACAAAACAATTAGGGAAAATAGTAATACAGTCGATACGATGACGGTTATTACCATCATATTAGCTGTGTTGATATATCTAGACCAAAACTATTAAAATAAATTAATCAAATAGATATTATGTGATTTTGAAAATAAAAAATATGTATGTGAAATATCCCATTAAAAAATAAATGGTTTTACATTCATAGCAAATAATAAAAAAATTAGTTTTTTTTTAAACTACATATTAAAATTTAACCTTTGGACAATGTTTATTAAATGTTTTTAAAAACACTTAAAAAAAATAACAATAACAAAATAAATGGGTTTTCAACTATTATTATGTAGTAACATGTATTATTATTATGCAGATAACTTCCAATACAAGCATAAATAATTAAAAAATAAATGAAGTAGAAAATTATAACAACACGTAAAACGATGATTTTTACAGAAAAATAACATTTTTTGTTTAAATTCGTGAAAGATAAGGCATTGGTTACGATAAACATACGATTTAATTTAACAAATGATTTATGGACGCAATATTCCAGAATATTTTTAAAAGTTTAGTAAAAGTTCTACTTTTTATGCATATGATGCAAATTTTGAACCCCTTTGTATAAGGAGAAATGATCTACTTATTTTAAAAAGTATGCCACATGATAGGGATATGCAGTACTAGATATATACAGTAAAGTATATACAATAGGGTGTCCCTTATTTTTAAAATTTTGGAAATTCTTCGGGCTCACCCGCCAAATTTGTGTGTATACATATAAAAAGTGGCTACAAAAAATTTCAGGCCGATCAGATAAGTTTAACCCGGACCGTTTTGGGGTTGAAAATTGACCAAAAAGGGTAGTTTTTAGAAATTAACTCGTAAATTAACGTTTTCACAGAAAAAATTATAGAAAGTAAATTGTGAATCTAATTGTTTTGTATAAATTAAACTCTAACAGCTTTTCTTCTAAATCCATTAGTTTTACATAAAAATATCAAAATACGTAATATTTCGTAAAATTGTCGACATGGGCATATTTACGAATATTTCATCATATCTGACAAACCATATGTGATACGACCTAATATTTTATAAGTATATAATACATATGTTTTCTAACATACTTTTTTTAAAAATCATGCATACATAAAAGATCTTACAATTAATGAGAAAATTTATGGTAAATATTAAATTATAATATTAGCTTCGATGCGAAGCTGAAAATGTATTTTTTTTACTGTCTTTTTTTTTTTTTGTGTGTCTGTTACCACATTTTTTCAGCGATCACCGAACCGATTTCTTTCAACGATACGTCAAAAGATCACAAATCGTATCTAGTCGAAGACATTACCCTCAAAATTAGAAAAAATTCCCTCGTTCCCCGTAAATGAGGGAAATCTCCAAAAAGAATTACAAATTTAAAAATTGCTAATTTTCGGCACTTTTTCATTTTTTTTTTTTTACTTAAAACTACCACAACTTTTTTTAAAACTAAACCAATATAGTTTTTTTTATAGATGCATGATGTGTTTACCTTTCATTTGGTATAATTTTTTTATAAATCTGACCCTTTACCTGCCCACGGGGGGGGATTTAAAATGATAAATTATTTACAAAAAATTAACTTTTTCAGCTTAACTTTTGAAAGCGTTCCGGAAAGTCTGACGGTCGGCGAACAGGGAGACAGGTAGTTCAGACCGGTTGACCAACTGCCTAGCGTCACAAAAGGGATTGGTGCTACCTACCAGACTGAGAGGGCATGAGGATTGCTTGTAGTGTCAACAACGGTTAGTGTTCAAGAACCAAGTAAAGGAAGAAGCACGCAGCAGATATTCTTTTTTAGCTTCGATGCGAAGCGGAGAAGATATTCATTTTACTATGATGTGTTTTTTTTTTTCTATGTCTGTTGTCACTTTTTCTCAGCTCTCACTGGACCGATATCTTTCAAAAATACGTCAAAAGATCACAAATCGTATCTAGTTGAAGACATTACCCTTAAAAATTGAAAAAAATTCCCTCGTTCCCCGCNCAAAAGATCACAAATCGTATCTAGTTGAAGACATTACCCTTAAAAATTGAAAAAAATTCCCTCGTTTCCCGTAAATGGGGGAAACCTCCAAAAAATTACAAATTTGAAAATCGATAATTTTCGAAATTTTTTCAATTATTTTTATTTAAAAAAGCCATAACTTTTTGAAAAATCAACATATCAACATAATTTTTTTTTATACTAAAACCTAAGATATTTCCCTTTCATTTGATATTATTTTTTTGAAAATTTATCACTGAATCTGCTCATTGGAGAAGATTTAAAATAGCAACTTTTTTACAAAAATTAACTTTTTCAACTTAATTTTTGAAAATGTTCCGGAAATACTGCGTCTTTTAAACATATATCAAATTAAAGCTTATTTTATGTACTATAAAATGAAAAAAAAAAATTTGTCCCGACACTTTATNAAATTAAAGCTTATTTCATGTACTATAAAAAAAAAAATTTGTCCCGCGACCTATCTTCTAAGCGCAAATGGCTACCATATTCAAAAATATGCTATTTTAACAAATTTTTTTTTTTGATTAAACACTATCTACAGATTTGCATCGAAGCATTTTTTATGATAGTGATTTTAATCACTGTGAGATATCATCTATACTGGACCCAACTATGTCACGACCCCACTGTGCTACCGTTTGTTTATATTTCATGTTTATTTGTTGTTTCGTTTTTTTCTTAATAAAGCAAGTTGTTTTGTGTTTTGTTCACAATAAGTAAGTTTGTTTTTATTTATTGCATATAATAAATTTGTGTACAATAGACAAATTTATAAATAACACGATATTATTGATAGTAACATTTAGAGCAATTCTAAATAAACTAACTGCATGAGTTCACCTGCGCACAGCTACATTAGGCATAATTCACATAATCAGAAAGAAATAATTAGAGTATGGTGCCTTAACTATATTTTAATTATTTCCGTTTTATAGTCATCGTTGTCAGCACACTGCGGTGGTCGATTGACGTCTAAGGTACTCTGCGGATACCACGACATGTTAAGGGCTATTTGCGCAATATTCACAGATTAATCTACACGACGTAACGCATATAGTATTACTTGTTTAATCAGCTTCATACTCTGTTTATAATATTTTATGATTACAGTCCATTCACGAGTATTAACACTGACACTTTTATATATATCTTAAATTAAAACTAATGTAATATACTTTATGGAAAAGAAAAAATTTCGGACTTTATTTTGTCTTCACAGTGAAAATGGCTACCGAATTCTATTTTTGTGTTAAAATTCTCGATTTTACATTTTACATTTGTTATAACTTTTTAAAAAATGTATGGATCTATACAATTTTTTCATGAGATGTAGTATTTATATACATCATTCATTCGAAATACTTTTTTTTTGAATTGGACTATTTCCCTATATACGGGGGGGGGGTTCATATCTGAAAAATGCATATAGAATATAGAACTTATTCAACTTAACTTTTGAAATTGTTCCGGAAATACTGACACTTTTATTCATATCTCACTGTGCTGGGTATTTTTTTGTCTATTTAAATGTGTGTAAACAAATATGTGTTGGAAAACGGCAATGCCATCTTAAAAATTTTATAATAAAACAATGTTTGAAATAAAATTTTACATTATTTTTAATAAATTACTTGGTAAAACTACTGTGGAGGTCTTTAGTTGTAAAAACCAGTTTTGTTCTACTAATGAACTTTTGATGATATATTGTTTTTTTTACTGCAATAAATATTTAAAAATAACAGCTCTAATATATTAGCATAATTTCAATGGTTTTCATAAAGTATTAGTATGGAACAATAATTTTTTTTTAACTTGTTTTAAATACTCTTGGAAGTTATTTACGACAATGATTTTAATCATTGTTCGATATCAAATAATTCTAAGACATGCTCTACTCTTTCCTTGTTGTACTTTACTTATTTTAAAATTTAATACAGTTATATTTTCATAGTAATAAAATGTTTAAGCGATGTCTTCTGACTCATAATAACTTCGACGTTTGATGAGTTATTAATACTGGAGGTCGCTAATAAAAATTGTTGTATGAAAATCAGGAAAATACCAAAATAATAATATGTGCTTATCTGAAAACTGACAATTTGACTTATTGGTTTAAAATTATAAGGGGTCTAGATAATATATATTATTTAGACTCATTTAAACTTCCTAAACTTAAATTTATAACTATTATTATACATTAATAACTCAATTGAAAAAAAAATTTTTATTTAAGATTACATATTATTAAATTAATAATTAATAATTTGGCGTTTTAGTGGCCTATGAAGGGATATGAAAACACATTTTGGAAAAAGGTTTCTTTACAATGTTTGTTCCGGAACAATTAGTTCGCCGTTGGATAAAAAGATGGTGATTTGAATTATTGAGTTGATGATAAAATATTTTTATTTTATTTATTTAGTATACAATAATATACTCATCAATGCAAAATTGTTATTCAAATGTTTAATTTGTTAAAACATGAAATTTACAAACGTTTACAGAAAAAAATTGTTAAAATAATTAACAAACACTATCAGATAATTATCATTTTAAATAAAATTAGTTTTAAATTTGTTAACAAAATGTTTGTAATATATATATTTATTTATTTTTATAATATATAGTTCGTTAAAATGTTCTAAAAATCTAGGACGCTATATATAAAAAAAAATGTTGTTGCTCTTATGAAATTCAATAAAAATTAAATCAATTCAATTTTTCAAAGATAGAAAGAAGTTTTAAATTAAAGAGAAAAAATTATTTTTTAATAAGGTTTGAACCATTGAGGTTTAATAGATTCAAAAATATTTACATAGATAATAGACTAAATTATTCGTGATAACGACTGAAGTCAAATAATCGCCATATTTTTTGAGACCAAAACGTTTTTTTCTTTAACTTGTACACAATTTATTTTGTTATCAGAGCAAAAAAAAAATGTTTGGTCTGAAATAAGGTGACAGCTATTTAGCTTCAATACGAACACGGGCAATATCAGCCGGTTAGCAATCTAGTTTATTATCAATATTTGTGTAAAACGAGAGTTAAACAAAGAAAAAAAATGTGCTATCTAAGTTAAAAAAGATCTTTTATTAACTTATTTCTACAAACTTTATTATTTATGAATCTACGTTCATTCAATTTTTATCGCCATTTCATGTACTGCAAATGATAAGCTGTACAAGGTGTTAGCATACGATAATTACTACATATTAGTTACCTAATTTTACATAACTAATAACGCAGATAAAACAGTTATCATAAATGTAATTACATTTGCTACACAGTGACGAATTAAAATTTAGGGACAATAAAAATAGATTATTATTCTCATACAATAACATCCGCGTCGTAATTTAAAATAGAATTTTCATCCAAATGTTTTTTGTCGAGTGAAACAACAACGTTCATGCGTCTCCAAAGTCTATGAAATATATACTCAATATTAAAATAAATCAAATTATAGCTATTTATAGAATACATCTATTACAATACTAAATGTAATTTTTCAATTCAATCATTCATAATTTTTTTAGAGACAACTCACACTATAAAAATAATGATCCAAAACCACATGATTGTCGTTAAGAAAAATGTGATCATAAACATTATAGTACCACTCCAATATGAATTACTGGCATCGGCAAAGTAATAGTATGTTTTCATTCCACAAACTATCAGTAAACTACACCACAAAACGATTATGGTAAAAACTATGGAAGCTTTTTTAAAAAAAAGCTTCCAATCTCTCTTTTTCCGAATCCACTGTAAAATAATGATAATATATTAATAATTCTAAAACAAAACTAACTTAAATTTAAAATAATATAGCAACTAAAAATAGAGCGTTATTAATATTTTAAGATAAATGTCAAATATTATTATTTAAATTAAAAATTTTATAAACTCAAAAAATAACTTGACATCATTAAAAAATGTTCGACCGAAGTAAAAAAATGTGTACATAAACACATCTACATATAAAAAACATATTAGTAATACTTTTTCAAGTTAGGCACGTTTTTATTTACATTACATGACTTAATTAAAGAAAAATAATAAGTTTATCGAATGGTCAAACAAAAAATTAATAGGACACATTTATCCCTTCTTATTTATGGGCCAGATATGACAGTGTTATGTCTTTTTAGACAAAGCTCTGCTAATTCACAGATGTATCATGTTGGAGCTTATTTCTACGAAATCTATATAAATTTACTTTTTTTAATTATTTAAATTTAGATTTCTTTTAGAGTTTCAGGAATATTTAGAGTAAATATTATTATTAAAATATACAAATGATAATAATATAGGATTTATGAATATCTGCCGCCAACATTACTATAAAGTACCTATTCTTTGTTTTAAAAGTTATAAAATAATTATCATAAAATATTTAACTTAATATTTCTTACTTGTAGGGGTGGATTGTGTATTAAAGACATAGTATAAAATTACGAGATGAATATTAGTACGTATTTTCTATTATTAAAAATAATGATTAATCGTGGTTAATATAATTTGAAAGCATCTTATTATATAATAAAACACTAAAAGTTAGCCAATATTAGCAAAAACACTTAACGATCTCCGATTTTCAATTTTTTTTTAATGAAAGTGATCAGTAATGTTTTTCTGGAAAAATTATTCGCGAAGAAGAGAAACAAATTTTACACATTCCTTGAGTGTTTAAAAATGTCAAAAACGCTCATTGCCGCCAGCGTTTTTAGATTTAAAACCTGAAATTATGATATGGATTGTCTGAAAACACTTCAAAAGTAACCTGAAAGTTTCGTTCAAATTTCGTTAGACTCAGTTATGAGCTATTTTTTTTTTAATCTGTGGGCATAGTTTTTATTATATTATTTTGTCTTATTAATAATTCTTAATAATAATAATATTATTAATAAATAATAAGTATTTTTTTTTATATCTATTGTAATTTTAGTATATTTTTAAATACACATTTGTATTTTATTTTTTTGTAGTAATGTAACAAGACAACTAAACATTAAGATATTATTTCTAAGGATATATTTTTCTAATCATTTGTATTTTTTCGGGTACTAATACTATAGTATATTTGATCCCAACAATTAGTTCATTGTTATTTGATATAAATATGAAATTCTGTTTTATTAACATCTATAACTTCATAACACAATTTTATTATTTTTATGTTAATATTATTTTATATTGTTGATACTAAAGATAATGTTAAAATTAATTTATTATATTATTGTGAATCAAATGTCTTACACTTAGTAGATTTTACTTTTTAAATTTTACTAGTATTAATATTTAAATGTTAACTATATTTTTGTTATAACGACTGTAAAGTAATAATTTTTGTTTAAAAAACTTATCAAATATCGGCTACATCGGACTTACCTATCGGATAACCTAGTATTCTTAATATTATAAATCATTTTATTTATTTTGATTTATCAGATTTAATTGAAATTGTTAATAAATAGAATACATGTAACGCCTAATAAAATTATTTTAACAAACATCATATACGTATTTAGCAGTCATTTATTATTATTATTTATAAGTATTTAATAAGTTCAGAACGATTTAAATATTTTTCATTAACATTTAATATTCCTAATATAGATGCTAAGAGACGCCTCCAGATGAACATTAGGGGGGTAAATTAAAAATATTTTTATCAAATAGATGAAATAGTAGTCATAAACTTGTGATGGCCCACTTTTAAAATATTAAGAGGAGTATCCCGCATTTTGTTCTGTCGTATAAAAAATTTTTGTTAAATTTTGAGTGTTCTAGATGAACCTCTTTACGTGCCTCAAAGAGGTCGAAAAATTATGAAAAGGAGAATAATATAGTTTTTTTCCGTATATCTTTTTAAATATTAAAGACAACAAAAAATGTAGTGAATTTATCTTATAGGAAAATATGTTAGCAAAAAAAAGGTCTTTACATACATTTTACGATTAAATTTTAGTATACTGTAAAATGTGTACTTTTATTTTCCTTTTCAGTAATATATTTAAAAAAAAAATTGATGATTTGTAATTTTGATGCATTCTCAATATTAAAACAGATATTGACAAAAGAAAACTTTTTTTTTCACAAAAACTATAAAATAATAGTTTTACTTTTTAGTTTTACACTTAATGGTATAAAAATGTATGCAAAACTTTTTATTTTGCTTAGATGTTTTTCTACAAACTTAACACAAAGTTGGAATAATCCACCAATTTTTTAAAATTTAACAGTATCTAAAGTCACCCCTTATAGCAACTCCTATGGTAAAATTTTAGTTTATTATTTATTAGTTTCACTCCTATAAACTTTATTAATTGAGAGAAAAATTGTTTTCACAATCCAAAAACTTCTGTTTTTGTTATAATCCATACTAAGTTTTAAAAAATTTAGAAACCGCACAAATGCTTTAATTCATTTATGTTGTAAATTATTATTTTAAATTCTTAGTTTATAAAGAACTACATAAACTTCTATCGATCAACAAGTGCAACGATATAGATAGAAAATTCGATATGTCTTGTTTTTTCATGAGTTATTATTATTTTTTTTTAATTTATCACTCCCCAGAAAAGTCGAATTTTTACGAATTTCTTGTGGAGCACCAAAATAATTTGTTCTCAAGTTTAAAAACCGACACTCTTCATATGATTTATACTAGCTTGTATATGATACAAACTTGTAATTATTTTTCCTGTAATTAGTTATTATTATATTCTATTATGCGAAACAGTTGAAATTCGAGAAATTAAACTCAATAAAAGATAATAGATCATAATTAAATCTATTTCTTTTTTTATAATTTTTAGTGTTAAGCTTAATGAAGTATATTTTACCATCATAATTGTCAATACTGAAACTAAAATTTTACCATACAAGGGGTAACTTTAGATTTTAAAAAATTGTTGGATTATTCCAAAAGCTACAAGAATCTGCTATTTCCTTATTAATATCCTGATTAAGATAAAGTATATCGAATGAAAAAGGAATATAAATATTATTTCTCATACAAAAATTATATTGATCCATACACTTTTCAATAAGTTATACCATTATAAAGTTAAAAATATAAAATATAAAATCGAGAATTTTTACAGAAAAATAGCATTTGGTAGCCATTTTCATCGTGAAGACAAAATAAAAACCGACATTCTTTTTTCCATAATAAAGTACATTACATTAGATTTAATTTAAGATATATATAAAAGTGTCAGACTTTCCGGAACACTTTCAAAATTTAAGTTGAAAAAGTAAATTTTTTGTGAAAAAGTTGTCATTTTAAATCCCCCCCTGTGGACAGGTAAAGAGTCAGATATGAAAAAAAAATATGCCAAATGATAGGTAATGATATCATGCATCTATATAAAAAAAATGTATTCATTAGTTCATTTTTGAAAATGTTATGGCAGTTTTAAGTAAAAAAAATTGAGAAAATTAGAGATTTTTAAATTTGTAATTTTTTTAGAGATGCCCCCATTTACGGAGAACGAGGGAAATTTTTTCAATTTATAAGGTTAATGTCTTCAACTAGATACGATTTGTAATTTTTTGACGTATCGTTGAAAGAAATCGGTTCGGTGAGAGCTGAGAAAAAGTGATAACAGATACACAAAAAAAAAATAACACATCATAGTAAAACCAATACAATCTCAGCTTCGCATCGAAGCTAAAATTAAAACTAATAGAAATAAATGAAAATAAATATAAAAAAATGTTTCTAAATTATGTATTTTTCTTTTAAATAACTTTTTAGATTATTCATAAATATAATTCCTAATCTTTTTATGAACAGTCTGAGAAAAATCTTTACAAAACTTAATACTCGTATCAATAAAAAATATAATAATATTTATAATAATTTAATAAAGACATTCGGGCTTTTTCTTTGACGGTAGCCACAATGTCTCCTAAGGGGTTACAAAATGCAAAACAAAATTTTTATAATAGGGATATTTTATAGTCAATAATAACTGATTAACTTGCTTACCTCATTGAAAGTCAGAGTACGTTCAACAGTTTGAAACGTATAATTGCATATGTCACATGATGTTGATTTTGATACGCATAGCCATTGTTCCAAACAAGAAGGATGTACTTTAGCATATGAACCGATACACTTACATGGTGAAACTAGGTCTTCAAATTTTTGTTCTAAAATAAATATAGTATAATAAATTCTTTCTATACGAACTCCTATTTATCTGATAAGTTTTGAACTTATGTATAGACTAATAACAAATAACAGAAAGTGTTTTTTTGGTCAAATGTTAAAATAAATTATCATTTGGAGGTATTTTTTGAATTTATTGATCTATATTTATATTTAATTTACCTTTATTCTCATTACCCTCTATGAAAACTATACAAATTCTACTAAATAAAATTTCATTAATCAATATGAATAAAAAAACCAGTAGAGTGAAGACGTGACATAATTGACACGAGTATAGATGATATCGAACAGTAATTATCATCACTATCATATTTTAAAAATAATGACATTTTTAACGGTAGTGTAATTTTGAGATATATTTCAAATTTCTAATATTAAGAGGTTTTTTTTAATTTTCACCGACGTAAGGTACAACTTAATTAAAATCAGGTTCTTTTAATGCATAAACCATTAACATTGTCCAGTGAAAGCTGAGAATTTTTATACAGTCACAGAAAAATACACGCAAAACCAATACTATCTCAGCTTTGTATTAAAGCTTAATAATAATATAATTGGTTAAAATATTCAATATAATAAAAGGTTTTTTAAAAATCTTGAAAAAATATTCACTCTAAGGAAGGTTATAATAAAAAAATTTTATAACTTCCATCACAAGGAATACTATGTTAAAAAGCTATATAAAGTCTTAAATTAATGTTTAATAAATAGTTTTACTAATTAGTTACTTAGCAATATAATAAACAACTTTGTCGTGTATTTAGTTTTATTTAATTATAATATTAACAGTGCATTAAGTATTAATTAACACTCTATTAAATAAACACAGCTTCATTATATATATCGCACCCCTAGATCTAAACTGTTGTAAATCAAAAATGCGATTTTTGAGATAATGTTCATTTTAGGATTTCTGATTCTATTACCTACATGAGAATAAAACCGTAGTAACTATATCTTGTTTGGTTTTTAATAGAAAGCGCTAGAAGACAGTTTACTTGAATGACAGCATGCAAATTTCATATCAGTTTTTCTTAAATTGTGAAAAAAGAGGTTTTTTGAGTTACAACAGTTTAGATCTAGGGTTGCGTATGTAAATTGTATGTATATAAAGTTTCTTCTAACAGTTTTGATTAAAAAAAATATATAAAAATTTTATCTTTCTGAAATATACATTTTGGTACAAAAATAATTAATGTCTATTCAATGGGATTTTCTGGTTTAAAGTTGTACTGATAATTTAATTTTTCATTTAACTTAATTATAAATATTTTTAGAATTAAACTTAAGGGAATATCTTTTTAGACAATAATACATTATTTTTATGGTTATAGTAAAAATTTTGTAGAAAAATCATGAATTAGTGTAGTTCCCCATTTAAAATATTTTGTTAGAAATATTAACTTTTTTTTAATGTTTAACATTTTTATAAAAATTCAAAAAATGAATTTAAATATTTATCTCAGAGGAATTGTTATGATATTATTTTAAATATTTTGTTGGCTAATAAATTTACCTAGTAATAAAAAAATTTAACTGTATTTTTTTTAAATATTTCTAAATAAAATAAATAATATGTCAGCTTTTCAAGACTGAGTAATGTTTCATTATTTACACATACACTTACACAAATTTAATTTATATTCTAAATACAAGAAAATTCATGGCTCATGACTGTCCCCTGGATAAAGATCAACTAGGTAAACATTATTTCTTTGCAATTTTAAAACTTCATCTGAATTTACTGGTAATTATTTATTATATTATTGATCAATTATTTTTTTCCTATTTGAATTTAGTTGAAAATTAGGTAGTTAAAAAAAGTTAAAAATAGCCATCACAGCGTCGTAAAATTAATATAATTATTGAATTTTAATATTTAAATTTAAATTTGCCCAAAAATTGTATATAGTTATTTTAAGGAAACACTTAAAAATCTTTTTAGGATTTCATTCTTGGAATTTACTTCATACTATGGCGGCTTATTATCCGGAAAACCCTTCCGAAAGGCTGAAGCAAGATATGGAAACATTTTTTTTGTTAATTGGGCGTCTATATCCATGTGAAACTTGTGCTCGCGATTTTGCCCAATTGTATGTAATAAAAAAAATTTGTTTCATAGTATTATATTACTTTTTTTTTAACAGAATCGATTCTAAACCTCCAGATACTAGTTCTCAATCAGCTTTGTCGAGGTGGCTATGTTGGGTGCATAATCAAATCAACACAAAATTAGGAAAACCATTATTTGATTGCAGCAGAGTTAATGAAAGATGGCGAGATGGATGGAATGACGGAAGTTGTGATTAACATTTTTACATAGTCGCTTTAATTTTTTAATTGGCGAAAAAATTGTATAAATAAATTTTCTTTTAAATTATTGATTATATCAATAAATAAATTTATTGATATTTTTAATGTAATGAGAGATTATACTTTTATTCAATTTTTTTAAAATTTAAATGTTAATAAGCTTTAGGTAAAAATTATATAACAAAATCATTAAAAGTAATAAATTACCAAATAATTGAGTGTCTGTTAGCAAAGGAATAATCCCAATAATTAATTTTTGTAATTGTTTTCTTTTTCTGGACATATGATATGAACTAGATATGAAAAAACAAAATTAAAAATGAAATTTTTTCTGGGCATGCAACTTTTTGCAACTGGTCGAATCAATTAATGAATAAATATTCTTTTAAATGAGTAAATTAGCAATATTTTATTTTATTTTAATAATAAAGGTACTAATTAAATTATAAATACTAGTTAATATCATTAAAATTGTAAAGAATTATAATCGAATATCAAATTAATAAAAAGTTCAATGACTAAGGCCTAAGATATTATAAAATTATTAAATATTTTTTTTTATTTTCTTTAAACTAAATTGTACATAAATTATTGTAATAAAGTTTGATATTCTAACCCCTAATGGTCTAAAATATTTTGCTATAACTTTTCCCTCGTTTCCTTCAAATTTTATTTGTTTACAACACAAGTGTATTACTTTTTCATAAAATTATAATTTTTTAATAAAAATTTTAAGAATTTGAATTTTTTTATTAATAAGGTGTAAATACATTTATACCGCTGCCTTACCATCATAACAAATGCGACAAGTGATCAGCTGTTCATTCATATCATATTTATATTGGATAGGTGGACTTTTGTCACTGAATAATTCTATAATTTTTGCCATTTGAATAGGTTCAAAATTCAAGTATTATAATTTTTGTTTTCTAATACGTCTTGTAACACGTTAGTTATTGTCACGACAACCAAAATCACCTTTATAGTTCATAAAATTATCTGGTGGATTAATTTTTTTTTAATTATATAATGTAACAAAGAAAACATACCTGCTTCTATTCTAGAAAACTTGGAAATTTTTTATGTGTCGTTAACTTGCTACTTGTCGGTTACCATATCATACTGACGCGATAACTGTAAAACGTTCATAATATAATTCATAGATTTCAATACTGTGAAATTCCGTCTAAACACGATTCAGAGTTAATCGTGGTGTTTTTTTATTACACAGATTAAATATAATGGCATACCAATTGTTAATGAATCAAAGTAGATTTTTTCCAATGATGTAGCATTAAAAAAATGCATTGTAGTAAAAAAAATTCAATTTTTATGATAAATATCTACAAAAAATCTAGTGTTTTATTAAATAATTACTTTAAATGTTGAGTTATTTGATCTTAGTGATTATTTAATATGTAAATCAGGTTAAAACTGATATTTTATACATTTTTGTAATAATTTATCGTTGGGATACAGATATAAATGACTTGAAGGGCGACTCGATTTGTTAGGAATGACAGTATATATTTTTTTGTTAAAACATGCCCAATAACAAAATCACAAACATTTCTTTAGGTGATGACTATGGTTAAAATACAAACAAAAAGTTATAGCCGCATGGTACATTAGTATTTTAATCAGATATTTTGATTTTAATCTATTATATTTAAATGTAAGTGTTCATAAATCAACGAGCTACTAGTTGTTAACAGCCATCGAGTAATTAATTCATTGTAAACCTAATGAAAAACGTGTAACCTATGGACTAAGTATTGTTCTTCAAAAAGAATGTATAAAAGTTCATATTTTAAATTAAAAAGAATTTTAAAGTTGAAAAATGGATTTCACTGAAAAATGTTTGTTAGTTTATCTTAGGAATAATTGGTGCATCAATAAAAACTTATTTTTAGCACTTTTACCAAAAAATTAAAAACCAAGTATGAAAGGGTATTAAATAGTAATAGTTTTTTTGTATTTTCCCCACTGAATGTTTTTTGATAATCATCTAATTAAGGATCAAGTGTGTGAATATTAACACAACAAATTCAGCTTGTTTGGTTAAGTAGAAATATACAAATCTGTAGTTTAAATGATTAGCTCTTCTAATAACATAAAAAATAAAGCACTTAAAATTATTATAATTTTATTTAGGTCACCAATTCAAGGCCGATTTTCAGCTAGGTCCACAAATATTTTTCACATAGGTATTTTATTTCCTACTGGTGGCCATTTAATAGCATAATTACCCGATATTCATTTGAATTAAATATTAGTCATGTACGAGAAAAAAGGTTAGAATTATTTCCTATTTGAATAAACTAATAACTAATATAATCGCTAATGACTATACTAGAGTAATGGGGAGTTATTTGCAACAGAAGTAATGCAAAACGCAAGCGCATTGAATAGTCTGAGTAATAATAATGCTATATTACACCAATAAACAATAGTAAAACATTACTGACAATTATTTGTATATTGGAAAGCATTAATATTTTCTGATGTTGGTTTTTGATTATTTGCATGTAATGAAGAGTCCGGCTAGGTGGTCTCCATGGAAATTTCGGCCACCACATAAGTGTCAAGGTCGGTTTTAGGCTAAAGCTCATGTGTACTACTTTTTACATTTTCTATAGATTTGACAAATAAAATTACCAAGCAATAATTTATGTGTAAAAACGTATGAAAATAATGAAACAAATTTCAACTACTTTATTGTATGCAAAATTAGCTTAATCCAAAAATTATGAAAAAAAATCAAAGTAACTTAAAAGTAGGTTTAGACTTATTACTAACTTTATTATTTAGAATTTTTTAGAGGTAAAATTATACAACACAAATTTTTAATATTTTCTAACTAATTTTTTAAATTACCTTAATTATTTAGGTAATTTAAAAATTAATCATTTAAATCAAGTAATAACTTAATTTTTTTTTTATTTATTATCTTTTTAAATACCTATAGATACTATATTATAGGCATATAATATAGTATACTATAATACCATATGCCAAAAGTAAATTATTTAACAAATAAATTTTTCATAACTAACAATACTAAAATTCGTTTTTTTATAGTATTTTTTTTTTCTATAGGAACATATGGCCATATTTTTGCTAAATATTTTTAAAATGATTGAACTGTAACTTATATCTAAAATTATTTTTGATATATATAGAACATTTTGTTACCTGTCATCTACTAAAAAATAATACATCTATTTTATAGGCAAAATATGTTTTTTTTTACTTCAAAAATATTAATTTTCATAAAGCTACTTCATTTAAGTTCTAAATTTGCTTTTAATTTCCTTAAAATATTTCTAAATATGGTCAGGCCATAGACTAGTCGGCCGGTACCGAGTTTTGCCTATGATTTCATGACTGTTGACTTCATTGGTTTAACTGTTTTCGGTATTGAGACATTATTTATTAGACAACCTCTAAGTGTCGTAAGTTTTTAGATTGTCTAATACGATTTTTTGTTCACTGTGTTTATGATATATCTTTAAATAATTGTATAATTTAATTATAATTTTTAATTTTCCTTTACCCATCCTCCGCGATATTTGAATCAGGGGTAATATATTATACGCTGCCTTAAATACAGATATAGAAGAAATTTTTTTGTTGAGGGTGGAATTCATAATATTTGTTAAAGTGTGAGATTTATAAAAAAAAAAGTATCTTTCTATAACATAATAATTCTAATTTTTGGTGTGGGCATTACTTTTATAACTCCTGTTGTATCCGTACATGGGCTAGCTAGCATTCATTAACTATTGTTTATTTTTTATTAAAGAATATTATTAATAAAATTATAGTATCTAAATTAGTTTACCTAGAAAAACATATAAATATATATACACTTGAGAACATCGTTCTTATACAAATTTAAAAAATTTTATTTAGGTAATTTAAATTTGTTACATTACTTATTAATTATTAATAATTGCAATTTTTATTTTTTTTCGATGGAAAGCTAACCATCTGATTTGGAGTACAAATTTTTTTAAAAGATCTTTTTTTATAGACTGTGTATGTTCTTGATGAAATGTATGAGTCATAATAAATTGTAACTCATTAGAAAAGTATTTTCCTTTCCTAAATATTCTAAAAAATTATATTTTGGTCCGTTAAATTATAAATTAACAAATAGTAATTTTTTTAAATAATTGCAAATGATTGAATCTTTAATTTTGTATGAATTATATATTTATTTTATAGTGTAATATTATTATAAATGAAATTAAAATATATATATATATTGAATCCAAACTAGAATGAGTGAGTAAAATTTTAAATTTTTACCTGTTGATTTTAAACTTTAAAGAACAAAATATTTACTTGTGAAGACGTGCTTAGAGATTTCCCTACTAAATTAATTTCGAATATTTTACTCTTACATCGAGAGTTGCCTGAAGTAAATAATAACAATAATAATGATTCATAAAATTTGTCGAGAGATAACGATGTGGGGTTTTCTAAATTAATTCGGACTACGAGAAGTCAGTGTTGTTGAATGTTACCTATACACAATATATTATGTGATAACACTTTTACTGCCAGTTCGACTTCCCGTTGTTCAATATAAACAAACTGTACTTAAGTTGTAAGACATGTGCATCATAAGAACTTCGCTAAAATATTGTAAAAAATCTAATAATTTATTTCAATTAAATGTTTAATAGTAGTTTTTATTTTGACGAGACGATTTTTAAGAAAGTGCTTCAGTATTATTCTAAAAATTCAGAAAATCTTACAAAAATGAATCAAGTATTTTTGGTACGTATAAAACTTGTAATCGGTTATGAATCGTTATTTAAAAAAAGAGACTTCTTATATTGTAAATAACAACTAAAAATTTTCTTGGTTATTTTTTGTAAAAATTATCGATGCTTTTGATTTTGTGAATATTATTTAGAATAATTAAATATTCGAGTATGGATCGTACAATACAAACTTTTCTTTACTATGCATTTGTTATCTACTAATTAATTTGAAAAATTAAGAGAATGTAAAAAATATATTATGTTTTACTGAAAAATAATAATATTAGTTGCTTAAGATACCTTTACTAAACATCCTAAAAAAAATAAAATAAATCATAAATTTAAGAATTTTTATTGAATTGCTATTTAACATTAATATTATTTTTTTAAATTATCAGAATATTTAACATTTAAATCATAACATTAAATGAAAATAAAAATAAACTTACAATGAAGGCATAAAATTAAAGTATTTATATAAATTTTGTACTTGAGTTAAGCAAAATAATGTTAATACTTTACTAGATAGTTTACCAGCTTTAAATTTTGACTAAGGTTGTCATAAAGTATAAGTATGAGTAAGTTATTACTACAAGTTAGTAATATACTCATATTTTTTATGTATGCATTTCCGTCAAGTAATTTTCATTGAAATATAACTTTACGAACATAAACCTTTTGGCCTAAAAAATGGAAATGTATTATCAGTTTTAGGTATTTTAAATGACATATTTAATTTGTTTTTATAAAATGAATCATTTACAAATGATATGCCTGTCCGATAAAAATATTTGAACAAGTTTAGTAAGTGTACATGTTATTAAGTTTAGATATATCGAGTCTTATATGGACGTCATTATAAAAATGATAAAATCCTTTCATTTAAAATCTAAAAAAATCATAAACAATATTTCAATAGTTGTCAAAACTTAATATCTTTTTAATTTTAACATTTTCTTCTCTAAGTAAAATAAAAGAGAGTTTCCCGAAAAAGTATCGATTTTTCATGAGAAATTTTGTTATATATCATTCTATATAAATTGTATCACTGACAATTAGTGGCGTAGACAGTGTACGAGAGAAACCGCTTCATTGGCAACAATAGTCATCTCTAAAATGTAATATTGAGTAAAAAGAAAAAAGTTCAAAAAATTGAATTTTTTAGATGTTCTTACTATAGGATCCCTATCATAAAAATCTGGCCATGCCACTGCTCACAATATTTATTTATAATTAATGATGCTTCCGAGATCAACAATAGTGAGTTGATTATAATTTATATTTAGCAACTGTATTATTCATCACTATATGTAGTTTAAGAAACCAATTCGGTCATTAAATTAATTTGCTTTTAAAAAAATTGAAAATAGCCCTGTTATTCAGTATTTCTATACATGAACAATTCAATTAAAAAAATTCTTAAATATTTTATACATTAAAATTATTTTTCTACATTTTTGTTGAGCATTTATAACAAAGACATCTATCTATGATAAAAAATAATTCGATAAAATATTATTTAGATCCAGGTAAAAATAATCTTTTTAATTCTCATCTGGATACAATTAATGATAACGTGATTTTTATCAGTTAATGTAATAGATATTTAACAAAAACAAAATTTTTTATTAATCTACGTTGATAATATTTTTTACATACCATAGTATATTTTTTTATTTTATACATTTTTTTTTGATCGATTTAACAAAATAATTGTTAATTAGAAACCCAAGACCAACCAATTTTTAATTTTACTATTTTATTATTATAACAAAAATTATTGTTCACTTAACAAAAAATCCAGCACAATGGGATGGCGGTACAGTGGGGTCGTGGCATAGTTTGGTCCAGTATAGATGATATCTGACAGTGATTAAAATCACTATCATAAAAAACGCTTCGATGCAAATCTGTAGATAGTGTTTAATTTATAAAAAAAAAATTTGTTAAAATAGCATATTTTTGAATACAGTAACCTTTTGCGCTTAGAAGATAGGTCGCGGGACAAATTTTTTTTTTTATAGTACATGAAATAAGCTTTAATTTGATATATGTTTAAAAGACGCAGTATTTCCGGAACATTTTCAAAAATTAAGTTGAAAAAGTTATTTTTTGTAAAAAAGTTACTATTTTAAATTGCCCCAGTGAGCAGAATAAGTGTTAGATTTTCAAAAAAAATTATATCAAATGAAAGGGAAATATCTAAGGTTTCAATACAAAAAAATATTATTTTTGAAAAAGTTATGGTAGTTTTAAGTACAAAAAACATCTCGATAAAAGGTAATTTTTATCGCAAACATTACATTTTTTTTTAATTTTCGACAGCCATTTGCCACATAGAAGATAAGATGTCGGGACAAATTTTTTTTTTTCATTTGATAGTATATAACATAACCTTTGATTTGATATATGTTTAAAGGACGCAGTATTTCCGGAACACTTTTACAAGTTAAGTTGAAAAAGTTCTATTTTTTATACAATACTTCAAGTTTTGAATGCCCCCTATATATGGGGAAATTGTCTAATTTTAATAAAAAGTATGTCAAATGAAAGATGTACTTATAATGTATTTAAAAAAAAAAATTTGTGCTGATAATTACATTTTTCGAAAAGTTATAGCACTTTTAAGTTGAAAATTTAAAATCGAAAATATTAACACAAAAATAGTGTTTTTTTAACTACGGCAGCCGTTTAAATGCAGAAGATAAAGTGTCGGGATAAATTTTTTTTTTTTCATTTTATAGCACATAAAATAAGCTTTAATTTGATATATGTTTAAAGGACGCAGTATTTCCGGAACATTTTCAAAAATTAAGTTGAAAAAGTTAATTTTTGTAAAAAAGTTGCTATTTTAAATCCCCCCCAATGAGCAGGTTAAGTGATAGATTTTCAAAAAAATGATATCAAATGAAAGGACAATATCTAAGGTTTTAGTATAAAAAAAAATTATGTAGATATGTTGATTTTTCAAAAAGTTATGGAAGTTTTAAGAAAAAAAAGTGAAAAAATTTCGAAAATTAGCGATTTTTAAATTTGTAATTTTTTTGGATATTTCCCCCATTTGCGGGGAACGAGGGAATTTTTTTCAATTTTTAAGGGTAATGTCTTCAACTAGATACGATTTGTGATCTTTTGACGTACTATTGAAAGAAATCGGTCTAGTGAGAGCTGAGAAAAAGTGGCAACAGACATAAAAAAAAAAAAACACATCATAGTAAAATTAATACCTTCTCAGCTTCGCATCGAAGCTAAAAATCGTTAAAAATTTAAATAAATTTGTCATACTTGTTGATCACACAAGGGTATTTTAATTATCTAATTACTGCCACACTTAATTGTTCAATAATGGTTTAAATTTCCTAATTTTATAATAAAAAAAAAAGATGTTTCATACATCATTAATTTTTTATTAACTTCTCATTCGACTTCGTATGCCGTATAAAAAAATTAATTAATTATGAAGCATCACAATTGTCTATAAAATGAAACCTTTTTTTAATCATCAGACACTATAATAGTGCTACTAACAATATTTCAATGACCAACTTATCAATCACGTGTAATATAAATAAAATTATTATGATGTGTTATTTTTTTTGTGTATCTGTTACCACTTTTTCTCAGCTCTCACTGAACCGATTTCTTTCTAAGATACGTCAAAAGATTACAAATCGTATCTAGTCGAAGAAATTACCCTCATAAATTGAAAAAAATTCCATCGTTCTCCGTAAATGGGGGTGGTATCTCCTAAAAAATTACAAATTTAAAAATCTCTAATTTTCTCAATTTTTTTTACTTAAAACTTTTTCAAAAATGAACTAATTAATACATTTTTTTTTATAGATGCTTGATGTCTTTACCTATCTTTTGGTATTTTTTATTTATAAATCTGACCCTTTACCTGCCCACAGGGGGGGGATATAAAATGATAAATTATTTACAAAAAATTAACTTTTTCAATTTAACTTTTGAAAGTGTTCTGGAATACTGTCACTTTTATATATATATATATATCTTAAATTAAAGCCTATGTAATGTACTATTATATCATTTTACTTAAGCTAACTATGCCACGTCACCACTATGCTGGGTTTTTTTTTTTAATTTGTTTTTTTATTCAAAACATAATATTAAATTTAGTGTGTTTTTACTAGATTTTAATTCTATCCAAATATGTTTAATAAACACATTTGAGTATAATTGGAATTCAATAAAAACACTGAAATTCCTATATTTATGTAGAGTTCACGTACATGTCGGCTGCAGGTAAGATGTTCACTCTGTAAACGAGTGTTCTGCTGCCTTAAACACAGGCACGATCACGAGCGCCGGGACCATGCGATGGTGTCAGTTACCCCGGTCATGTTGATCCGACGCCGATTTCGAGCCGTAGCTCCTGTCACCAAAAAACTGCAAGCCGCCAGTGTGGCTGCTGTATTATCGACCAACAGCCGCAAGAGACACCGAACACCGGTTGACGAGAACGAACGGCCATCTATGGTCGACAGTGGTGTCCGTCTGAAAGAAACGCCCGTTCGGCGAAACGTATTGAGAGCATATCGGCCCAGCTTGGCCAGCGTCAAAGATCTGCTCCTGCGTCCTGTAGCCGAAAGTAGTCCGACAATCCCGTACACACCTTACACGAGTACTTCGCAAGGAAGTTCTACTGAAAACGTTGAAGGGGCGGCCACTCCCGCCGCTTCACTAGTAGATAGCCCCAGTTTTTATCATACTCCTATGCAACAAACACCCAATCATCCAGTTATGTCGGACGGAACGCCTGCCAGTCAAAAAGCTAAAAAACGAGTGTCATTTTGTCCAGAATCGTCTGCTAAAGGTCAGATATACGTTTGATAGAATTAATAAATATTTTTTAGAATAAAATATAAGATTTAAAAAAAAATTTTAGGATTCTTCTGGTCTAATGTAGCCCGTCGTGTTCGTATGGCCCTGCGACCGGCAAAGCCAAAAAGCATAGAGAAGAGTCCTTCGCCAACAATCAACTGTGTAGATACCGTTCGGTATTATAATAACATTCAACCAAGACGTCCCATTAACGAGGATGTCATATTGCCCGAAGTTGAACCACGGCCACCGTTAGAAGCCATTAGGAAGGCTCATGAGGCAGCCGTTAAAGCTACATTGAGCACTAGTACAGAATCTTAATAGTTTGAAATGGTTTTTTACAAATTATAATTACATTTTGAAATTAATAGGCATTTTAAAAAATGTTAATTAAGAAAAAATTTATTTACTTTTTTAAAATAGTTAAGTTATAATAATTTATGATTACTTTATTTATTAACAACAAATTTATTATTGTATATTGTATGTTTAAATGTTAGGTAGTGAATTATTTATAATGATTAAGAAGCAATAATATTTTATGTATATGTACAAATATTTCAATTTAAATTAACTATTTCAATGAAAAAAAATATACAATTGAGTACGTCATATTTATATCGAGATTTACAAGATGTTCAATTTTTAGATATCATTAAAAAATAATTTATATTATGTATTAAACTAAGTTAATAATTGAATAATAAATCATTGAAATCATACTTCATTAGGAAATAAAGTATAACATTTTACTTGAATAATTTAAAAATAATATTAAACTGAATGTGCATTAAATTCAACAGTACCAATTGTGTTTATTTATTTATTTATTTTTTTTTTTGAGTAATTATTTGTTTTAGTAATTCGAAAAACTTAAAATTGTTATTTTAAACACATCAATATTAAATATTAATACGCGTATAACTTTTAAAATGTATGATATTATTTAATATAAACGTTATAGTTTAAATAGTGATTATATAATTAAATATATATATTTTTAATTATTAAAATATTAATACTTTCAGATGAAGAGAACAATCAGTTTGGTTCTGATCAAATTCTTCGCTTAAGTTTTATGAAAAATTACCATTCGGTTATCGTTATAGTTTTAATATTGATCTGAGCTATTTATTGTTTCAGTTAATAGATCGTCACCTCTGTATAAAAAGGTATTAACAACAATTTTTAGAACAATTATTTTCGATAATTATTTAAAATAAAAAAATTATATATATATATATATATCTTTTAAATCGTAAATTAAGTCGTTACACTTATTACCTATACACCAAAATAGCTCAAATAAAAAATTAAAAGTTTCATATAGCTGTATGATTAATGTTTTTAAAAATGATCTATCGAAGAATCATCGATTTTGCGTTAAAAACATTTTATTTTTGAATACCGAAATTGAAGGTAGGAATTTAAAACGTACATTATGTTCCATTTATTGAATTAATGGTAATTCAAATAACCTAAGTTAACGAGAAAATTTTGCCTCAATAATAAAAAAAAAAAACTGCTGACTGATGCAACCTTAAAATGATTATAATGAAGTAAAGAATCGTAGTTAAATTGTAACTCAATAGTATTTTAGCTTCAATACAAAGCTGAGAAACTATTAATTTTACTATGATGTGTTTATTTTTTTTTGTATGTGTCTGTGCCACTTTTTTGTCATCCGACTGATATTACTGAACGATACAACATAAGATCACAAATTGTATTTCATTAAAGTCATCATCAAAAATTGAAAAATTTTTCCTGAAATACTCCGAACTTCAAACATATGTCAAATTAAAGCTTAGTTTACGTACTACGCGTTAAAAGAAATTGTCCCAACATTTTCTCTTTTTTTTTTATATAAACCTATAAATTTTTTATAATATTGATACAAGTTTGTCAAAATGGTATTGAAGTGTACAACTTTTTATAACTTCTCCAAAAAATTACAATACTAAATTTAATTGTTATAATATGTATTTATTCCTATGTTATACTTATAAATCATAAAACTTCAAAATCAGGATATAATTAACGAAATGTAGCTGATTTGACTGTCCTTCATAACGCAATAATAACTTTTCAAAGAGGACGTTAAAGGTAAATTAATAATAATAATTTACTTCTAGAAAAAATCAACAATTCCTTTTGTAAAGTAAACACTATCTTTAGAATTTCATTGAAACGTTTTTTATCATAGTAATTTTAATCATTGTCAGATATCTATACTTTTAATAAATATGCCACAACTCCACTGAGCTGGTTTCTTTTATCCAATAGTTGTAAACATTTTTAAAGTACTAGAAAAATTCTTCGTTGCCATTGAAATATGATATACGAATATTTGATTTTATAATGACATGCGTTTTTTGTGTTATAATAACAAAAAAAAAAAACAACATTAAAGTTAACTTAATTGAATTGTTATTTTAGTTTTCAATAAGTTAACTCAATTTATTAATGAGTCAAAACCATAAAATATTTAGTAATTTCAATATTAGATTAATGCTCATGTTTTGAGTCTGTTATCAATTTTATAAAATTATAATTATTTAACAGTAGTATCACCAAAAATTAAATATTTAATATTTGATTTATAAAATTTAATTTAATGATAAATAACAACATTTATTTTAAGCACAAAATGGAATAAGTGAGTTCAATGCTCTTAGTTCCCATAAATTCAAATTTCGGACTATAACAAGTACTCTTGACATTATTATTAACAATTACAGTAAAAATATGCGCATTAAACATTAATTATACATTATGTTACTACAAAACGAATGTTGACAGACTTTTAAATTTAAGAGGTTTGTTGAAATGAGGGGCAGTTTTGACCGGTAGGTGTCGTTACAGGCGGATAACCCTTCTAATGTGCTCGTTGTAAAACAATATCACAAACTTCGTTTGTCAGTTGTTAGTACTTGTCCACGCAAGTCCATCAATACCGTCGAAAAGTTAGCGCTCGTCTGAACACATAAATTGTTATCGATTAAAAGCTCGTTTTTATTTAATTTTGTTTTGGTATTGTGTGAGCTTGTTTTCAGGGCTAGTGTTAATTTAATTTAAAATAATAATAATTACTCATCTTAAGCTTTGGTTATTTACTTAAAAGTTGACATGTGTAACCCGAACGATCCGGGTTAAGTGTGAGAACCAAAATGGACGGTGTTTTATCCACACCGTGTCCTTTGATTTGAAATACCCTTACATGGGACTATGGGAATTTGTCTGGACACAGGTAAGTTTTTTAATTGTCTTAGTAATTTAATACAAATTATTGTATGTTATTGATGAGGTCATATAAATAAAAAATAATAAAACTGAAAATGTTTATCATAAAACATATTAAAATTAAACAAATGCGAAGAAATTTAATTAATAAAAAATTCCATCGTACCAGTTTCTAAACAATTATAATTTTAGATAGTTTAAATTATTAATTTTCAATATAGTTTATAAAACATGGCATGCGTCATGTTATTTGAATGCATTCACTTCTATTAAATTATTTAGTTAAAATTTAATTATGAAACATCATGAGGTTTCTTAACTAAAAAAAGTTTTACAACAAATTTTTAAATACTATTTGACAAAAATTAATTTAAACTTAACGGAACGGATGCATTAAAACTTTCAACAAATGACTAACTACTATTATTTTAATTTTTATTATTTTTTTCATTTGTTGTTGTAGGCGCACTATAATAGCCGATAGACTAACTGAGTTTTCAAATTTGACTTTTGAAAAATCTAAACACCTATTTGAACTTTCTAAATAGATTTAAAGTTTTTGTAATTTCAATTTTATTGAAGTTAAACTATAATGAACATAATTAACAATTATGAATAATTGTGATTAGTATTATAATGTAAGATCTAGATTTTGGCACTGGTTAAATGACCAAATTATTTTGAATATTTTCTAGTGGACTGTATAAATGTGTAAACAACAGCTAGATAAAATATCAAACTATAAGAAAACACTAATTTATTTCTATGTTACAATTTAAATCATTTTTTATTCTGACAAAAACTAACAGGTCGCTCGAAAAGTCCCGGGGCTAACAAATAAAAACACATTTCTTTCGCAAATTTTGACTTTAATCATCGAGATAGTTTCCTTTTAGAGTGATAGCTTCATTTCAGCGACGTCCTAACATTTCTATTCCTTTCGAATAGAACAATTTATCTTTGTTCTTAAAATACGCCTCAGTTTCGGCGATAACTTTTTCATTCGAGCTCAATCTTTTTTTCTTGAGCATTTGCTTTAGATTTCCAAAGAGACAATACTTGCTGGGGACCATATTTGGACTATACGGTGGGTGTAACAGCAATTTGAAGCCCAAATAATGCATTTATGCCGTCGTTTTTAATGATTTGTGACACGTTGCATTGTCTTGGTGAAACAGGATATTTTGCTTTGCAATATGCGGTAATTTTTTCGCGATTTTGGTTTTCAAGCGCTCCAATAACGCAATTTAGTAATCGCTATTGATTGTTTTACCATGTTCGAGGTATTCAATTAATCCCATGGGCATCCCAAAATACCGAAGCCATAACTTTGCCTGCTGATTGTTGCGTTGTCAGCTGTCTGTTGTTCAATTCTGGACTGTAGTGAAAATTCCTCATTTCATCTTTTGTCACATATCGACGCAAAAATTCCTTCTTAATCTTGTTTAATAGAACAAAACAGCCCTATGTATTATATCTTAAATCAATATACGAAATTTATTTTTATCCATATTTACAAAAAAACAAAAGTAGCTTCACTTTAATGACTATAACATAGGAATACATTATTAAAATGTCATACAATTTTGACTCGTTTCTTTTGAAGATAGGTATACTAACTAAAAATCATAAGGATAAGTTATTAAAGTCGCCATCTATGCGTCAGTCTCGGGACTATTCGAACAACCTGTTAATAAAAAACATGAATAAAATAAGTGATAAATTTACAAGATCATAATGAGTTTAACAAGCGACTTGCATAAATATAAATTTATGAATTAATTATATAACATGCTTAAAATTATAAATAAAATACACAACATGCATAGATTTGTGCTAATTACAACTGTAATTCAAATATATTTATTTCTATAAATAATTGACTTCTAAAAATCAAGCAGTTAATTTCTTCTTAAGTTTTAAAAATTGCAAAATATTTTTTAAGTAAATCAGTCTGAATACCAATGGGAATAATTTATCAAGAAACTTTGTGATATAAGGAACAATTAATATTCAATTTTGTGAGTTTTGTTTAATAAGATTTTAAATGAAGAAATAACATAGTTTTCTGAGATTACTAGATAATGTTAAGTTACGAGTGATTACAAATTGAGTATAAGCAAGAAATATAAAAATAATGATTTGTAACTGATTGCCAACGAAATTTTATAATTATAGTTTAATTTTGCAAGATATTTTATAAATGAGTAAATACTTATGAGATTCAACTGGATAAAGTTTTACTACCTATCATCAAGTAGTACTAGAATACTAGTGATTAATCTCAATAATATTTGTAAGATTCTGACTTTAAATTTATAATATACTGCTAAACAATATTTGTTCAATATGTCAGTAACAACATTTTGTAATAATGAACTTATATTACTAATAGACCAATATTCAATAAGAAATTTAAAATTAACACAAAATTTTTATAAATTTTATTTAAAAATTAATGTTAGGAAATTGATTGTTAGCAAATTTTCTACAAATAACAATATTTAAACGTATTACCGTTACAATTTGTCAACAATATGGCAGTCAAAAACCCAAAGAAAAACTAAATGATAATTTTAGTTAGAAAAATGACGACTGGACACAAAAGCGAAAACTACAAGTAAACAACTAGGTGTTCCGAAACGAGGAGAGCAATGATTTTTCATTCGCATAACCGCTACCCTGACGGCTTGACTTAACTAGTGTTAAGATAGGCAACGGGTGACCAATCCGTGTGACCATATTTTAAATTTTGAGTTTGCTAAACACAAACAAGTGTTATTCTTTATAACAACAGTTCTTTGACGCCCTTTATAGCACCAAAGTATCAGTGAAACATATTGTGAGTACTAATATCATTAACAGCCAGTCATAGTCCACTCATATGCCAGACATTGCTTTGTCTACTCGTTTGGTTTTATAACAAACTTATAACCACGAACGTAAGTTTAACTTACTATATATTTAAATGAAAGGTCAATGAGGTCACGGATGAATATGGGTCATGGTTATTTGATTCACCACCCTAGTGAGGGTTTAAACGACTAACATATAGGCTTTTGATTGCTATTATAGTTTTAATGATTTCAATGTGAATTCACGAGACCAATCAAAAGACGTAAGAATAATTCAAAAAGTGGAGGCCAAGTGATCGATTCACTGACCTTTCGATTAATGATTGGAGAAGGGAAAGTTCTAATAGGCAATTTTCTAATTTTACTATCGATGCTTGTTAATATAAATTCTTATTAAATATATAATTCTATAGAAAATGTTGTTTATCTGTTTTTATATTATTCTATTTTGAACATTATTTCTTAAGACTCTCTGCATCCTCTTTGATTTTTGTTATAAAATAATAACGAAGATACATAATAGTAATAAAACATAATCGAGCACATTTAATCTATTTATTTTAAATACAAAAATAAAAAATGCACATAATTTTTTTTCAATTTAATAAAAGAAAGCTCTAGTAAAATAATGTTATACAGAATGTTCAGTAAATAAAGAAACAGGTCAATTGTTATAAACAATGAGAACAATATAAACCCGTTTACTGACTTACTGAACACCTTATATAATATGAAAAAATATCTATTCAAAAAATAGCCAAGCTGATTTAATATATTTTTTTATGTCTTAATAATGTTAAAACTTTTTATACAGATATTTCTTTAGAAATATTACTATGAACTAATTTCTAAATAGGGTGTATTTAATTCTTTCATAACAATTTTAGTTATTTTTCTAAAATATTAGTTACCATTAAAAATTTTATAAAAAAATAATTTAAATATAACATTATGATATAGTATTCTATTTTTTTTACCGTTATATTATAACAGAAATGAATTTACAATTAAATTATGAACTTTTTTTTATTAAATTATTGATTTTTACTTCGTATGTATCAATTTTTGTATAAAAAATTATAATTTTCGATGTCAAAAATGTCAAATCAAAATAAAGATAATCGAACTCTCATCAAATTATTTTCAACATAAAAATAGTCTAAAAATATTTTGTTTCAAAATTAAATCCAATTATGTTTAATAATTAATTTGAAATTTTTTTAAATTTAAATTTATTATTTATTTTTTTTATCTATTATCCAAGGTGATTGATTTATCTTTGATCACTTACTGCTCCTAAAATAATAATAACATATATATATATATATATTGTTTTGTTAATGAGTAAGTATTTCTTAATTTTAAATGGTTTTTTTCTTGCCCATTATCTTTATCAACTTTATATTTTTTAATTTTAACATACATATTTAACTTGGTCATATAATAGAAAATGATTCATCTAATAAAATGTCTGGTCAATAACAACTTTTGAACCTATATTTTGGGAATTATTGATATTTTTAAATGTAGACTAGTGGCGAGGTGGGAGGTATATTGTGTGTATTATATTTATCATGACACATTACCCTGTCAAGCTATTCCAGCCACCCAAGTATAAAATTATTCAAACCAAACCCAACTTTCGATGTACTGATTAAAAAATTGTTATCGACCCGGTCATTTTTTTATAATATGAACAAGTATAATATATATGTTGCTATTTAAAAAAAAGTTAGTACCCTTATAAACCAAAAAAATATTTAACCAATCATAAATTGAGAAATAAATACTACTTAAATAAGAAAAAAAAAATTCTCTAAGTTGTAATTATTTTAGATGAAATCTACTAAAACGTTATGTCAATCACTCTGTATGTCTTATACTAAATATTTAAATTGGAACATTTGTTACTTGTAATTTCTTTATATATTTTTTTCAAACTAATGTCTATGTCTATTTTGAAAATACTTTTAAAATGTTTTCTAATGAAAAATTACTTTAATAAATAGAATTAAAAATATGTCAAGAATAAATCACGAGTCATCTAGTTTGTTTTTTTATTTATTTCTAATAAATTATTCCCGCAAATTTTGCATTCCTATTTATATTTCAAAAGATATGTCGTGGTGGCGGTAAACAACGACAATGAATTAAATAAAAGTTTGATTCAATTTAAAGAACAACAACAACTTATAAATAACAGCATTAATTTTTTAATTGCGACAATGATAGTAATATATAAAGATCGACACACGATCGTAAACAACTCTAATCACAGATGATTGCCGGCCAGCGGCCGTACACCTGTATTTATGTACACAGCTCTACGTCTGGCAAGTCGACGTACGACAGCTCTCCGTCTCCGATGGACAACTAAAGGGTGTCTGCTGCTTCGCATTCCATTGGCTGCTCTTGCGTCATTCCCAATTCCGTCATAAACTCATCATCTTTGGGCAACGGTAGGTGCCTGGGAAGAATCCTCATTTTCAGCTAGTTCCTTCTTCGCTAGGTTCCATTTTGTCTGCTCCTTTTCTAATACTGTGAAGTATGCATTTTGATAATTTGACTCTGATGCTGTCAACGAAGATTGCCGGAAATATTTTTGTACTGGATCTTTTGTACCTGTGAATATATTAGAATTCGGAGTACTTTCTCCAGTTCCAAAGGAAATGCACATTTTACCTTTCCGTAATATTCTCCCCATTTCTCACTCATGCCAGTGAAGCTCACAAGCTGCCGGTCATGCTCGAATTTGAGCTAATGAAGCGAGTTTCGTTTATTTCCGTTTTTATAGTAAATGTTTTCCTAAAAAAAATCAGGGAACGATTTGACGAAATTTGCTTTAAACATTGATTGTAGTCGAGGTTAAGGTTAAACAAAACTGCTCGTTGAATTTAGATATAATATTCACCTTTTATACAAAATTATCAAATTTTAAATTAAGTTTCTTATATTCTATAAAAAAAATAGACGCAAAATAGTAAAATAACTCTTGTTATAATGTCATTTAGGGTCACTTGTAGTAAGACTGTAGTTTAACCGATTTATTAAAAAATTTATAAGTTTAGAAATTTCTTGAAAAATTCATTTTTGTCTAATTTTTATCATAATTCGAATTAATTAGGAAAACTATTCAATAACAACATTATTGATCAATTTACTATAAAGTTTCACTGTTATTGTTTTTATTTGCAATCACATTGTAAAACTTTGTAAGAAAGAAGATAAATTGGTCCTGAATAAACATTAAATAACCTTGTTGTCTTTCAACTAGTGACATAAATTAATCCTATATCATTTCGTAAAAAAAAATTGATGAAAATTTTATTATAAAGATATTCAATTGGCCTAAAATTCAATCATCAGACCTAATATCAAAGTCATATTTAATGAGCTTAGATATCTCCCTTGGCATGTGCTCTATTTTATTTTTAGTGATTTTACATTTTTTTAAAGTATTTTTTCAAATAACGAAATGATATCTAATAATGCTAATTTTTATAATAAGTTTTAAATGATTAGGATTAAAATAATTTATCGTGACAAAATAAAAATGATCATACATAACTTAACAAATCAGTGTATTGTTAGTTTATCAGAGAAAACTTAAGCTTTGAATCTATTTAAAGTTATCAGCACAAATTTCTTTCAATTCCTAAGACAACTATATCTCTTATAATTTACATTTTTGAAAATCTAATCAAAACCTCAAGTATAAGAATTTTTTGAACATAAAAACATATGTAAACAAATTTTTTCTTTTTTAAATTTTGAGTCAGTAAAAAGCGGGTAGGTCAACATTTCTAAAATTTCCGATATTTAAAAAACTATTTTTTTTTATAAATGACCACATAGAAGCGTTTTATACTAATGTTATTAATCATTGTCAAATTTTTATCTATGCTCGAGTCCAATGTACTAGATATTTACTTTGTTGGATTCCAACTGTACTAGGTATTTTTAACTATGGATAAAGTTAAATAAATTTACTTAAGATTTATCGAATATTTAAACATATTGATTTACAGTATTTTTTAATTATCTAACTTACATTATGCCACACATTAACAAGTAAATAAATTTCCATTCAAAATTTTATTATTTATTTTAACTGATGATATTTTTTTATGTTTCAGACAAAAACCCTGATGATAATAATTATAATAATAGTTCAAAGGGTAGAACAAATTGGGATCGTAATGAGATCAATGTTGGTTATGGAAATGATTTTGAAATGTTCTCACAAACAAACGGTCATGTTAAATTTGACTCACCGAAAGTTCCAATTATTTTTGTTCTTGGTTGGTATTTTGAAATTAATCCTAGTAGCATTGGTCTTCAAAGGTTCCTATTTGCTTAGAAAGCAGGAAGTAAAATTTGAATAGCAAAAAAGATGATATGCTTCTAAATACTCTTTCGTAAAAAAATAGATAAATTGGGTTGATGCACAAAATCATTTGCGATACTCACTTAATGAAAGTAAACCGATTGTAAAAGGAAAAAAAATCAAATTCTTTTCATAACAACTCTTCCTTAGACGTTAAACGCAAAATTTCCTAGCCGTTAAAATATGTAAAATTCCTGGGTATTCATATAAAACTTCATGCACCTTTTAATATATTACAAGATTCCTCTCTGGTGTTACCCCATGCTACTAGAAAAACAATCTGGACGTTATAATATTATATAACTATATATTATACTTTTATTTATTCTATAATCTAATTTAACGAGTAGGAGGACCTGGCAGTGGGAAGGTGACACATTGTGACAATTTGATGACAGAAAAAAGAGGAATTGTACATATAAATATGACAGATCTACTTCAACAGTACACCGTTGGAAATGGTAAGATAAATTTCATAATAAATAATTATTTACAAAAAAAAAAATCAAAAAATTAATTTTATTACATTTCATGTAATTCCTTCGAGTGCAATAAGTTGATAATTTAAATTTTATTAAGACATTTTCTACAATGAAGGTAATATTATTTAATTATAGAGAATTTGTATTTTTTTAAATAAAAGTAATAAGAGATATGCTTTGAATACATATTGGTGATTCCTCCGTCTATCTCTTTTATATTTGTAATTATTTGATAGAACAATTATTATAATTGTAATTTTGTTCTAGTATTATTAAGTAAAACTTTCAATACATCTAAATAAAATTAAACAAATAAATGATATATAAAAGGTGATTTATTAATTCTCAAAGCTTTTGTTCATTCTTCAACTTTGATGGGTGACTTTCAAACATTAAATTGTTGTAACTATCTTGTTGTTTGAGCAACAGCTGAATTATTAATAACATTTATGTCGACTCAATAAAAGTATAAAAATTGATTTAGTATAATCAGTTGTTTGTACAAATATTTGAAAGGGGTTTTCATTTAAAATGTGAATATTTCTAGCTGAAAAGTTAACATAATACCTTATACAAATATATTAAAAAATAGTCATTGTTCTAGATTTTGTTATATGAAAACTAAAATCTGACACTTCTGTATCGATTGCTACCAGACAATATGTTTATATGTCTAGACGGTTCCAACACATAACGTATATGTTCCCTTAACGTCCCTGACCTAAAAATCATTGAAATAACCTAACACTATAAAAAAAAACATAAAAGCGATGAATGTTTTTACAAATTCTTTTAAAAATATCTACAAATTTTTTTTTTTTATTGATTATAAGTGACTAAAAGGGGAAAATGTTAGTATTATAATACTGAAATTATTTATATATTTTATTAATATTATATTATAATTTACTTAATCTCTATCCCCGCTATTTGGGGTCGACTCTATCTCTAAATTTGACTAGATTATTATACAGTCTGCCGAACTGATGCAACCTCATTATGACTGAACCATAAGCCGAAATCATAAACGGCTATTAAATCACTGTTAATATTCTCGTATGGTCACCTATCCGGAAACAAAGAGCAAATAGCTCAGTTGAATATAATCGCAAAAACGGCAACTGAATAATCTACAGCACCATACCACGTCCAATTCAATATATTATATTATATTATATTTATATTAATCATGTACAATAATCGTGTGGTCCCTTAATTATTTTTAAATATTCTAATTCATACTGCATATCTTTTTTGGGCATCTATTACATGCAAAATATTCAACATAAAATATAAATACAATAGCAAAATGTTTATCATGTACACGCATGATTAAAATATTTTTTAAATATGAAAAAAAAAGCTATGTTTAAGTTATCATCGATTTATCGATTGAAATATAAAACTACTCCACGCGGTAACAGCTATATTTTTATTGTTTAAAGTAATATTATTTTTAAGGGAAAAATCATTTTTAATTTTGTTAAATTGTATTTATCTTTTAATGAAATTCTTCATTGTAGTGTCAGTTTATAGTTTTCTCTTGAATGGTGTTTGTAATAAAAAATTGATAAACCTATAATTACTTAAAAAGTCTGCAATATCTTTCAAACTTGTAACCTTAAAAATTAACTTGGTACACACAACTGACAATTGTCCATTTTAAATAATTTTTTGCATATTACACAAAAAGTTTTAGCTTTAGTATCTAATTACAGATAAAAATGATAAACTAGATTCATAACTCGTAATAACGACTGAAACCAAATAATCCTCTCATTTTTCAGTCCAATAATTTTTTTCCTGTATATATATTCCTTCGTACATGCACATTTTTGCTATCAACAACTTTTTCGCTCTTTTAACAAAATAATTTGTATACGAAGTATAAAGACAAAAATGTGTTAGCCATAAAAAAGATGGCGTCTATTTAGCTTCATAGGCAATATAGGCCAATTAATAATGTAGTTTATCATCAAACTAACTTCTTATTATTATATATAAAAGTAGTCTGTTTATTAAAACTTTATATTCTTCTTTAAACATGATTAATGATTATTATCACTAACATCATTAAAAATAAATATATGTATATTTTGTACTTATTCAATTAATCAATATGAAAAATATATAAATATACCGTACAAATTATTATTTAGAGTAGATTTTAGGGGTAACTTTTGGAAGTTAAATGAGAACCTATTACTATTTTACTATTAAGATAATGGTCTAAATGAAAATTTGACAGGTCTATTAGAAGTATTGTATTATTACTTTTTAGATATTAAAATTTGAAGATTGAGAAAAAGTGGGAAGCAGGGTAATGTGTAGTAACCCTTTATTTTCACCATAACGTTTAGATAAAAGTTCTCTACCCTGTGCATCCCACTCATCTATAACAAAAAATTATAAAAACTCAAAACTTATATGTATGTATATGTATACCTATATATTAAATAACCTTAATTACTTTGACCACGATTAGCAACTGTTGTTGTCGGCATAATTAAAAACAGTTCCTATAAAATAGTATATTTTTCACTTCGACTACGGTTAATGTGTTAAAATAAAAATAAAAATACTTTCCGATGACTTATCTTCGAAAATCATTTAATTTTTGGTGGGTATGTTAATTTTTTCATGTTAATACGCATCAAAGCACTCTACAAAAGTTATTTTAAATACAGAATAGAAAAAAATCTCAAATCCACTTTGTTGGATCCCTAGGTTACTTTACTTTTGACGTTTTAAATAACTAAAAATAATTAAAATAGATACAAATAACATAGACAAACAAATAACGTTTTTAGCTTACATTAAATAAATTAATTCCCTTAATTTTAGACATGGAAGATTTCAGCAAGTTGTCGAGTAATACCGTAACAGAAGTGCTCATGTTGGAATTAAAAATGTCTCCAGCTGCCAAAACATTTTTAATATCAGGGTTTCCTAGAAATATGCGTGACGTCGTAGAATATACGCAAAAGGTGTATAAATTTTACTACTTATCACTCATTACTAGGGTTTGGGACTTAATATATTTAAAAAATTTACTTTAAAAATTCCGTGTACATCAATCAAAAATTGGATATTAATTTTTATTTTTCTTAATCTTAATCAATGTATATTAATTAGAAATTTAGTTTTGTGAACTCGTGTGAATCACTTCTCCTAGCACAAAAAAAAAATCCTGTTATACTATACATATGATAAATTTTCATGGATTTGGGTATCGCACAGATGATTCAAACAATTCTTATAAATACATTAAATCCTGAACCCTATACTTTACTTAAGATAATTCGAAGAGTATATTTTAAGTTTATGCACAAATTTTATGCATACTTTAAGTAAGTTAAAAATATGTTCAAATATAGTTATAAAAATATTTCTTAATAAAAATTAATATGGTCCAGATTAAATCAGTAAATGGTGTAATTTTGATTGCGTGGAGTCAGAGTGTTTTGGAACGACAAATTGATTATGGTGCCAAACTAGGTCATGTAGTTTTAAGTCTTGCAAGAATGGAGTTGAATAATTTTTACAAGAATGTAACTCCAGTATCAGAATATTATGATCAAAGAGGGATGTTGATATCAGTAAAGTTTATTCTTTTTACGAAAAAAATATATTATTAAGATATTTAATATACATTAAAGGTTAACGGCGAAAGAAGTCCTTCTGAAGTTTATAACGATTTTCGCTCATCGGTGCTACAAATTTTAAGTGCACATAGATTTAATGAAACCTCACCTCCGGCATTGTCTAATGGTCATATACCAAACCATCAAAACATAGCCTCAAATAGAAATGCTGAAGAAGTTTTAACACGGGAGACTGTTATTGAACCCAATGATAGTCATCATTTAAAACATTCAAATTATCCAAAAGTAATTTGTGTCGTTGGTTGGTAAAATTTAATTTTTCAATATTTATAACAAATTTAAAAATAATGAAGTAATTAATATAAATTAAAATTTTACTTGTGAAATAATAAAATTCAAAACAAATTCTTAAGGTCATTGATTTAATATTTGGTGTTGTTCATCTACTTTTATATCATATGTAAATTTCGATGGGAAAAATTCATAACATTGAAGTGTAATACATAAATTTATAATTCAGATATCGTTGAATCAATTTAATGATTCTTTCCTCTAGCTCATTTTATGTACAATGGTTTTGAAAATTGTATCTTTAAAAAATGTAACCATCAATTTCATTTAGGAAAAAAACCAGGTATGTCAATTTTATGTAAACTGAGAAAAAGAAATTTTTAATTTCAAAACATCAAGATATTTTACAATACATCATAACTTACAAGGGCTATTAATTTTAAATAACTTATTTTTTTCACTAGATTGGCGGCTTCAAAGATATATTACATTTATAATACTTTGTCACCAAATTCTCAATTTTGAAAAAAATTGACTTGCCTTGTTTTTCTGTGTACTATTCATATACAGATTCAAACTTAAGAATTCGGTATTTTCCAATTAAATATTTTAAAAAAATATCATTTTTTTAAATATAGGTGGCCCTGGTAGTAATAAGAGTTCATTGTGCCAAAAGGTTCTTAGAGCCAATCCTGGTTGGGGACATGTTAGTATGGGTCCTACACTCAGATCATTGGCGTCAGCCAAAATTGAAAACGATCCTGTACAAAAAGCTATTAGTAATGGTCAATTAGTTAATAAGGTATGTTTAGGTGTACTACTTGGGTATATAAAACTTTAACTAGCCACAACTAATAACGCAAAACAATTTTTTTTAGGAATTTGTTTGTGAAATTTTGAATTTTGAATTATCAAGGTATACAATTTCTGAAGGGGTTGTTATTGATGGTTTTCCCAGAACAATAAATCAGCTCAACTATTTCGAAAAAGAGGTAATATTAACCTAAATTTGTTATTCAAGTTACTTAAAACCTTGATGTTATTATGATTTAATTATTTTTTTGTATTTTATTATTTCATTTTTTTTTTTTTTTGGAATTCAGTATGCTCAACAACCAATATTGATACTTTTGGATTGCTCAAAGTTACAGTTAGGTCGAGGTAGATTAGATGATAGTGTTTTAGCTTTTCGACGTCGTCTTGAAAATTTTCGTGAAGAAACATTGCCTATGCTCAAACAACTCGATGAAAATAATCGCTTGATTGTGGTAAATTAAATCTGTTTTAATAGTATAATAATTCTTTTAATAATAATTTTTTAGTTATAAAAATTAACGGTCATAATCAATTTTACAATTCAGATTTATTTACATAATCATAATAGTCGGAAGCTTATTAAATTACTTTAAAATAGCATATTACACATAATTTAAATAATTTTAGCTACACAATACTTAATAAGTGTTAAGTAAGTAATAAGTAGAAAGTAGAAAGTTGATATTAAAATACATAATAGGGGTCCGCATGACATTATTTGAAACACGTCTTATCGTTTCATTAAGTAAATAATTAGTTTTGCTTATTGGAGTGTAAAACTATATTAAGAATCTGGATCTTTAAAATTCATTAAAGACAAAAAGTAGGTTAGTCAATTTTTTTCATTGAGCAACACGTTTAAACATTTTAAACCTACATTACTCTACGATTTGAAGGTGAAGTCAACTTGATTTTATTTGGAACGGGAGTATATATAATAATTATGTTAAGTACCCAAAACAAATGAAGCAAATCTTAAAAATCCCCTTTGAAAATTTTTAAAATGGTAGGTATGAGATGTATTAGGGCTCCAAATAACAACACCATTTTCAAGTAGGGTCAAACCATTGCTCAATACAGTGTTTTTTAAAAGATAATTTGACTAATCAAATCAAATTATATTTTATTTTATTGGTCAAAAACTAGTTTTGTTTTCTTTTATTTAAAGTTATTATGCTTTTTAATTATAATAGAGGGAGAATTCTTATCTATGCGTTAAAGTAAAAATATAGAGTCACTAAACACAATCCTACTTTTCATCTTTTTAAGTCTTTAAATACTAATATCTCAAAAAAAATGTTATAAAATGGTTGTCGACCAGACAAAATTTTATTTAGACTATTATTCATTTAATAGTAAAAAATAAATTATAGGTTTTCATTTAACTTTCGAATGTTACCCCTAAAATCTACCTTTACCAAAAAAATTGAGGGTTGTATTCTTAATAAATCACACTATATATTAATAAATTAACTTTTTTTTTTTAGGTGGACGGTAATACCGATGAGAGAGATATCCAAGAAAAATTCTTTACAGCTCTTGTGAATACTATGAAAAAGGAAATCAACAATACATTTCATCAAGTCGTAGATATAGATGGCACAGAACTACAAGATTTAGAGAATAATGCAGTTCCTCCTGTCGAAGATGTTTCGCGGATAGTTGTAGGGTCAGCTGTACCTCATCAAAATGGTTTTCTTCCTAACAATCAACCTAACAACACTGAACAACTGTCACAGCATGGTCAAGCCATTCGAACAATGTATGCTCAAATAGGGACATACCCTAAAGAAAATGTATTTTAGTAGCTAAGCGAATTAATTTAATTTTACTATAATAAATTTCCTCGTGTGTAATCAATAAAATTAAAACTATTTGATTCAAATAGAACTGATGTTTTTAGTTGATTGGAATATAAATAATTTTTTGTGCATAATTATTTCCACGCACTTTACCTGCAAATATTTACCATTGTGATAATTTATATTTTGAGATATCTTACCAGTGTAAAAAAATAATAACTAAGTCAAGTAACTAAGAATAAATTGTGTTAAATATAAAAAATATATTTATTTTTATTATAACTTAAAAACTTTTACAGATTAAAGTTTAAGTGCAGTGGTTTCTTATTGACTTATTCAATAGAAAAATAGTGTTTTTTTACGATTATAAAAATTTCTGAGTAGTTCATCTAAGAACAAAAAATTATACGTGTCACTTAACACTGTTTCATACGTATTTAGTGTACCAAATATGCTATTTCAGATTTATCGCAAAAAATCAGTCAGAATTTCATTAATTCTTCATCTATTTGTCACGATATAGTCTTTTCCTCTGCCTCACTTTACGTTTTCAACTTTTAAGGAAAATTTTCGGGATTTTTATCATAAGTGCACAATAGCCTAGTAATAAGACTTGTATCTACGGCGCAAAGGTATCGTCAAGACAAACTTAAGATGGCCTATTTGAGCCATAAATTGTAAATCATGAACTGTTCTTTTATTGGAAATTGATATTTTTAGGTAATATAAAATAATTGACCTATTTTTATAGAATAAAATACAAATATATGTGACTTATTAACAAACTTTAAGAGTTATAAACAATTAAAATAAATTATTTAAATTTTTCCTAAAATTTTTTTTGAGTAGTACAAAATAGATTTGAATAAAAAAATGAATTGTTTCTCCATCTTTCGCATTTCCTTAAATTGTTTTGTTCCGTTAAACTTAAAACAATATCATTTTTTTACTTATTATTTTATTAAGGATAATAATATGGTAACAAGGGTCATTAACCGATAGATATTTAAGTTTTAAATTTCCAAATTTCGTAATTTGTAATTTTAAGATGTATCAATAATAAAATTTAATTACTGTTGCAGAATAATCAATAATCAATAATGACTTATTATTATTATCACTTAAAAATATGCTGATGGTTTTTTCAACTAATCTATTAGAAAATTAAAATTATAATCGACATATTTAAAGATTACACACCCCCGTGATTTTTTTTTAAGATCGTCTCTGATTATAGATATTAAATTGAACTTTTTCCATTTATCAAAAAATAATTGTCTCAACAAGGANTAAAGTTTAAGTGCAGTGGTTTCTTATTGACTTATTCAATAGAAAAATAGTGTTTTTTTACGATTATAAAAATTTCTGAGTAGTTCATCTAAGAACAAAAAATTATACGTGTCACTTAACACTGTTTCATACGTATTTAGTGTACCAAATATGCTATTTCAGATTTATCGCAAAAAATCAGTCAGAATTTCATTAATTCTTCATCTATTTGTCACGATATAGTCTTTTCCTCTGCCTCACTTTACGTTTTCAACTTTTAAGGAAAATTTTCGGGATTTTTATCATAAGTGCACAATAGCCTAGTAATAAGACTTGTATCTACGGCGCAAAGGTATCGTCAAGACAAACTTAAGATGGCCTATTTGAGCCATAAATTGTAAATCATGAACTGTTCTTTTATTGGAAATTGATATTTTTAGGTAATATAAAATAATTGACCTATTTTTATAGAATAAAATACAAATATATGTGACTTATTAACAAACTTTAAGAGTTATAAACAATTAAAATAAATTATTTAAATTTTTCCTAAAATTTTTTTTGAGTAGTACAAAATAGATTTGAATAAAAAAATGAATTGTTTCTCCATCTTTCGCATTTCCTTAAATTGTTTTGTTCCGTTAAACTTAAAACAATATCATTTTTTTACTTATTATTTTATTAAGGATAATAATATGGTAACAAGGGTCATTAACCGATAGATATTTAAGTTTTAAATTTCCAAATTTCGTAATTTGTAATTTTAAGATGTATCAATAATAAAATTTAATTACTGTTGCAGAATAATCAATAATCAATAATGACTTATTATTATTATCACTTAAAAATATGCTGATGGTTTTTTCAACTAATCTATTAGAAAATTAAAATTATAATCGACATATTTAAAGATTACACACCCCCGTGATTTTTTTTTAAGATCGTCTCTGATTATAGATATTAAATTGAACTTTTTCCATTTATCAAAAAATAATTGTCTCAACAAGGAACAAGTTATGTATTTTTTGACATTTTTAAACATTATTTGTTAACTATAAATTGAGCATTTATATGGAATAATAAGTTTAAAAATATCTAAATTGTACCTTTATAAATTAATATAATACTAATAAATATATTTTAGGTACTCAAAAACAGCTTTATTTAATTAATTAATGACAATAACAATTTAAACTATTGAGAAATAAACTGCAGATGTAAATTAAAAAGATGAATTTATTTATTTAACGTGATGCAGGTAGCAAAATTAAGAGGAATATCATTAGGTAGTATTCCACTTCACCCCACTCACAATTAATTCTGTGTCTTACATTCTCGTCAATACCACAGTTTTTTCAACCGCTCAACACTGAACCATACATCATAGCTGGTCTCACTACAGTTTTATAGAACTTACCTTTCAGCCTTATTGGAATTCTTTTATCACATAATACACCAGACGCTTCTCTCCATTTTAACCACCCGCACTTAATCCTGTGCCTTATACCCTCATCAAGACCACCGCTCCTTTGCATAACTGATCCTCGCTTTATGTCACTGATCTCCTCCTCATTTCACCTACTTCATGTTCTCCTTTGTCAAACTCGTTTTTTATATACTCTCCTTACCTACAATAGATGATCTTCACGCCTTTATTAATTTCTTGCCTATTTTCTTCTACATTATAACGCTATATCGTTAGCGAAAACTTGTACAACTATACCTCTTCTTGTATTTCTCTAGTAATTTCATCCATCACTAAAACAGGACCTTGGTGCATTCCTTCTCTTACCCTAAAATCTACTGTTACTCCGACCACACTTTTTACCCTTTTACAAATGGTATCATACATATCCTCTATTGATATACGTTTTTGGTATTCCTTTTCTCATTAAAACCCACTTTAAAACCTATCTTGAAACTCTATCATACGTTTTCTCCAAATCTATAAATACCATACACAGTGTATCTTCTTTTCCCTTTACTTGTGCATCATATGTTTCACATATCTGTGAAAGGGAATAAGATTACTTCCTCTGCCAGTCGTAAGAAGAGACTAATGAGGTTTCGACGGATCGATAACCGATGTAAAATTATGAAGCATGCTAAACAGAACTTAGGCTGATTTCCTCATCTTGGATGTATGTGGGGAAACAGATGGAAGGAAATTAAGTTGTTAGAGACGGAGAAGGCTAAAAGAATAAGATAATGACCCGATTCTAAATTAATAGTTCAATTTATTGTATTTATAATAAAATTTTTATTTTAAATTAATTTTGAATGTTAACAATCAAATTATATGTAAATACTTATTTTATAATAATATTATTAATATTAAAACTTAGAAGTGATAGAAAAAGTCTAATTGCACATTTGAAAACATTCCAAAAAGTTGATTTAGAAAAATATATTATTGTTTCTGATGAAAGTTCTTATGTATAAAACTTATAATTTTGTTATAAATAACAAAAAATTTTTATTGAAAGATATTGTATCAAGCCCTTTAAATTTTTATACGCGTTAAAGTAAAGAAATATACAACTACTTTATTATTTTTATAATATCTCCGCAAAAATTACAATATTAAATTATTGAATATTGAATATCAATTTCATACTAAATTTAAGTACTATAATTATTATTTATTCATATATTATAATAATTAATCAAATAACTAATCGAGATAAAATTAAGAGAATAAGAGTTATTGTTGCTTTTGAAATAATCTAACAATTTCTTAAAATTAAACACTATCTACAGATTTGCATCGAAGGGTTTCTTATGATAGTGATTTTAATTACTGTCAGATATCATCTATACTTGTCCCAACTATGCCATTTCCATACTTAGCCGCGACCCCACTGTGCTACCGTTTTTTTTTAATTTATAATACTATGTCATTATTAAGACGAGGAATGCGGTCGATAGATTTCTAGGAATAAAATAACATTACTTTAAATCGTCAATAATTTCCAAAATACCTATTCATAATTTGTAATTTGAAAATCATTTTCTTAATTAGTACATTTTCCAATAAATTATCTAATTAATTTTGTGTGAATTAAAAAAATTTAATTGGATACCCTTATAAGACATAAAAAATGAACATACAAAATACTTTATAATTTGTTACTTACCATTTTATTGGGTTGTTTTTAGTAACCTTTTTTTGATTAATTCACAACCCTGTTCATCATGAAAAAAAACCCAATAAAATTTTCAATAGTATTATTATTTTTCGAATAATTAAATTATACACGATAACAAAAACAACCTGTATACAATCATTAAAAACAATCACAGTTTTATCCAAAATTAAAGCATTGAATGTTTCAATATATACAAATTTTTTAGCATATCAAATATGCGAAAATATTGTTCAGCGACTGTAACTGGAAGTGTATTTCGAGAACAAGAATTTATCACTGCTAGTGAGCAGTATAATAAAAATGTTAATGAAAATATTAAACATAAATTAATGAACCATGTTTGCATTGTAAATTTAAAGGTATAAAAATCAATTCCTGACGTTTAACTTAAACCCGTCAATAAAAAAATAATTATACAATGAATTAACGCGATTCAAATGATAAATTTTTTAATGAAGTAAGTGATAAATAATAAAATATATTTCTCACGTCACATTTGTTTTCATAACTTATTTTTTACAAGTCTAAAGCAAATTTAAATTTTAAATAACAAATTATACATTTATAAAAAATAATATATTGCGTCACATAGCATGAAAAACCTTCTATGTATAAAAAATTAAAGATAACATTTTTGATATCCTAAAAAATACACTATCTATAATATATATTTCATTTTTTTTTACTAAGGAGTTTTATCATGCCAAATGACAATATATACATAAATTTATATGATATTTATTGTAATTGAAAATTCAATAGACAAATGAATAAATTGATACATTGTGCAATAGATATAAGTCTATTAAATTAATTTTTTTCTTGAAAACTACAATTATAAAAATATTCATAATACTCATAGTCAATACAACATTTAAATTTGATTGAACATTTATGAATATCTACAATACAAAAGGGTATATCCAAACCCTTTGTCTTATGCAAACACTTTCATAGATATGATCATATCAACTATAATAATTATCACTGCTATAGAATATTTAAAACATATTTAAAGAATACAAACAAACATCTATTATCAAATATATTTATAAAATAAAATAATTATAATTATTACACTTTCCACTTCAGTTTATTTATTTTATCTTATAAATTCTTTCTTTGTATGATACTTTTAACGAAATATTAATTCAGCAAATCCAAATTTAAATTATAACACAGAAATACTTTGAAAAAATATATTTATTGTTTCAAAGTTAATATCATTTAATGTTGCACTGACTGATGTGAAATAATTTATAAATTTAATATTATTAGTTGTAGTAATAGATATTAAAGATTTCAAAGTAAATATATGGCCTAATATTCCTTTCAATTTTTTACTGTCTTCTTTTATATTGCCATGTGATAAAGTACTGATTTTTTCAAATTCTGAGTTCAATATTTTTTCGATTATATCTATGTCGTTTATATTAAAATTAGAATTGGATAGTATTAAAAATAAATTTTGCATATTTTCATCTTTTTCTAGTTTAAACTTGGAAATAAATTTTGACAGCGTGTCAATCATTGACTTCCACATGTCTTTAATAACAAACTCCTTCATATTACCTTTATTAAACATAACAGAAATATCACGATTCACATATTTTTGAAATGCTGAACTATGAATTCTGATATGTCCGTAAATTGAAGATTTTAATATCAAAGTTACCGAATCATAATAATCTTTTAACTCCGTGTAAGATTCTGACACCCATTTATTAACAGCAACTTTATGTAATATTTCTACCATTTTTATTGTGTCAAACCAATTAATTCCAACATTTTCCAATAAAAGTTTTATTAGTTCTGCTTGCTTCTGACCTATATGTCCCAAGAATAGATTGGTGGGCGTGTAATGCTTTATTTTAATTAGGGCCCCGTCGTATTGGTTACTGAGTAGATTATTTAAAATTAAATCATCAAGTTTTCTCATCCCATAGTTAATACGGAAAATGATCTCATTAGGTTTATTATATTCGTACGTAGGAAATAACGTCACAGTACCATCATTTTTTTGGATAAAGTCTACTAATGTTTGATGGACTATAGCAAAAGCTTTCTCAATACTATTTAATTTTGATTCAAATGTACCTTCAACAAATTCTGTATAATCACAAATATTTTCTAGCTTTAAAACATTTGTAATGGTATTGGCGAATATACTGTGTTGCCACAACCACCATACGTCAGGTTTCGATATTAAAGTTAAAATATATGCCATTTTTTCTCCATATTGAGACATATAATTTAAAATTTCACTCCAATAAGGCATATTATTATAATATATTAATAACTGAAATAATCTTACAAGTTGTAGGCATTGCCTAGAGATATCAATTGATACCACATTTTGTGAATAAACCTCGTTAAAAGTAACAGCACATACAAAAAAAAGAATAATACTTTTTTGCATCTTTTTATTTTTTTATTTTATTAAAAAAAAAAATACTTTTATGTGACATAAATTGCGTAGTAATTTTCATAAAATTATAGTGCAAATCTTATATACTAGTTAAAGTCAAAATATATTTTTAAGAATTACACCAACTTAATTAAATATAATAGAAATAAAATTATTATTTACTCATACATACGAAAAACTAATAAACAATTATTTAAATTTTAACTTTTATGGCAATTAATTAAATATAGTTTATATGTTTTGTTTAATACACAATGAATGTAAAATATATTAATAAAAATAATTTACACACAAATAATTCATCAGCAGTACTAATAAAAAATGTTTTTTCAAGAAAAAAAAGAAAAATGTTTATATAAAATTTTTTAGTAATGCATTCCTCAAAAACTTAAGAACGGATTTTGATTTTCAGGTTAATGTTAGAACACCATAACTAGTAAATATGCTGTAAATAGTTTCAGAACTCTAAATTTCACAGTTTATCTAATGAAGCTTCGAAGTTGACACACATAAAAAACCCGTATTTTCAAATTGACATACACACATGTATATATTTTTTCCTAATACATAGATTTTTCACTAATTTTATATAAAATTATAAAATATTAATAACATAATAATGAATATGTATATTAAATATTCTGATTCCAATTTTTAAATTATAATATCTTCTGATCAAAAGTACTTTATAGATCTCTTTACAAATAACAATAATATTCTTTATAATGAAGTAAAATTTAAAAATGTAAATAACATACTAATTTATTAATCTTAGTAAGTTAGCAATTTTCAGTATTTTTAAATGAATTTAATTTCACTGATTATTCAATTATAAACAAATAGATGAAATATTTGCTATAATAACACAAAACATTACAATTGCTTAATTTTACTAGTTTGTCACCTAGTTCATCCTATTTATTATAATTTGTAAAAATTAACTGAAATTCTACCATCATTTATAGTTTACTAACAGAATTTTATAAATTATATCAACTTAGATAATTTAAAAAATATTTTTATTATCATAAACATATCAAATATTTCATAAGAAATTTCAATCAACTTTAAGTTTCCAATTAACTATAAAATAAATAATTTAAATAAACAAAAATAAGTAAAACAAATATATTTATAAAAATCAATAAGTCTACATCTTTTAAACTTCAGCTTGACAAGCTTCTTTTAGAAATACTCATGAACAATTAAAAATTAGTAATTTCTGACTTTATACAAGTAAAAAAAATCCAGCACTGGTGGGTCGCGGCACAGTGGTGACGTGGCATAGTTGGATCAAGTATTATGATATCTGACAGTGATTAAAATCACTATAAAAAAAAACGCTTCGATGCAAATCTTTAGATAGTGTTTAATTTTAAAAAATTGGTGGATTATACCAAAAGCAACATGATCTGCTAGTTCGTTATTGATATCCTGATTCAGATAAAGTATGTCGAATGAAAAAGGGATTATTAAAAAATATTATTTCTCATAAAAAAATTATGTGAATCCATACACTTTACAATAAATTATAGCATTATAAAGTTAAAAATATAAAAAAAATTTTTTTTACAAAAATCGTACTTTTTTATAAACTTGATGTCTGTTTTCACCATGAAGATAAAATAAAAACCGAAATTTTTTTTTACTATAATACAGTATATTACATTAACCTTAATTTAAGATATATATAAAAGTGTCAGACTTTCCGGAACACTGTCAAAATTTAAGTTGAAAAAGTTCTATTTTCTACATGAATTTTTTAGATTTGAACCCCCCGTATATAGGGAAATGGTTCGATTTAAAAAAAACAGTATGTCAAATGAAAGATGTATATAAATACTACTCCTCATGAAAAAATTGTACTGATCCATACATTTTTCAAAATGTTATAACATAATAAAGTTAAAAATGTAAAATACAAAATCGAAAATTTACACACAAAAATAGCATTTGTTAGCCTTTTTCACCGTAAAAATAAAATAAAGTCCGAAATTTTTTTTTCCTTAATAATGTACATTACATTAGTTTTAAATTAAGATTTATATAAAAGTGTCAGACACTCCGGAATATTTTCAAAAGTTAAGTTGAAAAAGTTAATTTTTTGTGAAATAGTAGTCATATTAAATCCCCCCCTGTGGGCAGATAAAGGTTCAAATTTACAAAAAAAATATACCAAATGATAAGTAAAGACATCAAGCATCTATATAAAAAAAAAAAATTACTTATCCATACATTTTCCAAAAAGTTATAGCATTATTAAGTTAAAAATATAAAAAAAAATTATTTTACAAAAATCGTAATTTTTTATTAACTGTGATGTCTATTTTCACCGTGAAGACAACTCCAGAGGTCAATTTTTTTTTTTTTTTAATTAAAGTATATTACATAAGCTTCAAATTAAGATATATATAAAAGTGTTAGACCTTCCGGAACATTTTCAAAAGTTAAGTTGAAAAAGTTCTACTCTCTATATGCATTTTTTATATTTGAAGCCCCCCCCGTATATAGGGAAATAGTCTGATTTAAAAAAAAAGTATGTCCAATGAAAGATGTATATAAATACTACTTCTCATGAAAAAATTGTATTGATCCATACATTTTTTAAAAAGTTATAGCACTTTAAAGTAAAAAATGTAAATTATAAAATCGAAAATTTTCACACAAAAATAGCATTCGGTAGCCGTTTTCACCATGAAGACAAGTCCAGAGGTCAAATTTTTTTTTTTCAAATTAAAGTATATTACATTAGCTTTAATTTAAGATATATATAAAAGTGTCAGACCTTCCGGAACACTTTCAAAAGTTAAGTTGAAAAAGTTCTACTTTCTATATGCATTTTTTATATTTGAAGCCCCCCCATATATAGGGAAATAGTCTGATTTAAAAAAAAAGTATATCCAATGAAAGATGTATATAAATACTACTTCTCATGAAAAAATTGTATTGATCCATACATTTTTTAAAAAGTTATAGCACTTTAAACTAAAAAATGTAATTTATAAAATCGAGAATTTTCACACAAAAATAGCATTCAGTAGCCGTTTTCACCATGAAGACAAGTCCAGAGGTTAAATTTTTTTTTTTTAAATTAAAGTACATTACATCAGATTTAATTTAAGATATATATAAAAGTGTCAGACCTTCCGGAACATTTTCAAAAGTTATGTTGAAAAAGTTAATTTTTTGTGAAAAAGTTGTCATTTTAAAACCCCCCCTGTGGGCAGCTAAAGGGTCAGATTTATAAACAAAATATACCAAATAATAGGTAAAGACAATAAGCATCTTTAAAAAAAAAATGTATTCATTAGTTCATTTTTGGAAATGTTATGGCAGTTTTAAGTAAAAAAAATTTCAAAAATTAGTGAGTTTTAAATTTGTAATTTTTTTGAAGGTTTCCCTCATTTATGGGGACCGAGAGAAATTTTTTCAATTTTTCATCAGGGTAATGTCTTCGACTAGATACGATTTGTGATCTTTTGACGTATCGTTGAAAGAAATCCGTTCGGTGAGAGCTGAAAAAAAGTGGTAACAGACANCGTTGAAAGAAATCCGTTCGGTGAGAGCTGAAAAAAAGTAGTAACAGACAAAAAAACTAAAAACAAAACACATCATAGTAAAATTAATACCTTCTCAGCTTTGCATCGAAACTAAATTTGTATAGTGTAATTTCAGTTTAATTCAGTTATTTTTCAAATATAATTTATATTTTAATATGAAATATAAATTTATAAATTAATGACTCTTTGAAAATTGTATGAATAGTTAATCTTAAGTTGGTGCTGTTAATAAAATATTTGAATGGAATCTTAATTTGTTAAATAATACTTACTGGCCATAAAATATTATTTTATACAATTTTTATCAATTGTATATAAAATTTGTAAAATAATAAAATATGCTTGTCGTACATTTTACAATATGTAAACAAGGTATTGCTATTTTAAGTTATACTACATTTATGCGAATGTAGTGATTTTAATAAAATATATGCAATGGACGATATCGTAAAATATTTTAATCAAAATTTAAATGATTATGAAAATAAAGAGGTAATGGATGAAATGGGCACGTTTATAAATAAGAAGGTAATGTAACTTTTTGTCCGCATAAATTGAAAAATAACTTAATAAATCGATATCTTATGAAGAATGAAATTTTTGAATCGAATTTATCGGAACCCATACAATCAATGTGTGTCGAAGAAATGAATAGGCATCTGACAAGAAAAATACAAGTAATTTATATATAAAAACCCAGCACAGGGGGGTCGCGGCACAGTGGTGACGTGACATAGTTGGATCAAGTATAATGATATCTGATAGTGATTAAAATCACTATCAAAAATAAACGCTTCGATGCAAATCTTTAGATAGTGTTTAATTTTAAAAAAATTGGTGTTTTATTCCAAAAGCTACTTGATCTGCTGGTTCCTTATTAATATCTCGATTAAGATAAAGTATGTCGAATGAAAAAGGGTTTATTAAAAAATATTATTTCTCATAAAAAAATTNAATTATTCCTAATAGTGTTTTGATCATACTTTATGATACTTATTATTAAGATTTTGTATATTGTTAAACTATAATCTCAGCATTTATTTAAGGGAAAACTGAGAAATGACACCGATATAACTTACAATTCACTATAAATTTAATTTAAGTTATTAAATCAGTTTTTTTTTTTTTATTATTTTGAACATAATTATAATGCCTAGAGAGTAGATTTTTAATTTTTTACATATTTTTGTTGTATTTATGTAGCTTGACAGAGTAAGAAATGTTAACACTCTGCCAACTACTGAATTAATCGCAGTTTTATAAAATTTTATAAAACAGAATATTTAACAATACATTTATTTTTTATACATTAGTTTTAGTAAATATGAAATTTTTTTTTACTATTTAACATTAAATAAATTAAAATAAAAACAACATACATTCAAATAAGTAAATAATTCAATGCAAAGTGAGTTTTTTTAATTCTCTGGTGAATTTTAGAAAAATTGATCCAGTTAAAAAAAATTAATTTTATTATTATTAGATAAATTTTTAAAAGCCTATTTTTCAAAAAAAAATATGTAAATTATTAATAGTAGAAAAAATATCTAAAATATTAGTAGCCAGAAACAAATTTATAAATAGAGTATATATTATTATCCCGTCTGCCCTTCAAAAATATTACTGGTATTTTTTACATTGGAAACTTTCAGGAGTGTAAAAATTACAATTACACGAAATATCAGGACTTAACGGCAACGTTTTCTATTTCGATTTTATTCTCAGGTATTAAAACAATTAAAAATAAATAAATATTTAAACATATATAAAAACATACAAAAATGTGTTATACTTAAAAATTGCATTTTTTTTTTGGATTATTTCTACATTTTTTGTAAGAATATAATGATGCTTATTATCATCACATTAAATTATATAACTCATCTGAAAAAAATGAGTTTTAATGAATATTTACATTATTATTTCTAAATTATACGTCAATGGTTATTGCATCGTCACGTCATCTCTTAAATACAAGCTTACTTATTCTCCAGCCAATTTACATTAATTACCTAGAATAAATTTTTTTTTTTTTTAATTAATTTGAATAAATCTATCTTTAAGTGTTTGGAAGAAGATAATGAGCACTTGACATTACTATTAGAAAAACAAAGCAAAAAAAAAACTAAAACATTGGAAAAAACTAAAAATGAAATTGATAACTCGGCTTCCAAAAAAATATTTGAACTATCAGAAAAAGTCCGTGAATTATCAATTCAATTAAAAACAATAAAAGAAAAAAGTGAGGAAAATAATAGTGTAACTTGTGATCCTATTGACAATAGGTTAAGTTTAGCAAACAAAAAACTTTGTAATTATCGAGACCAAATATCACAGCTAAAGAAGGATTTAGAATTAACCAAAACAGTAAGCATTTTAGGATAAATAATAGAACTTTTTTGATGGCGGATACTGTTTTATATGTTGATACTTTGCGTATTTAAAAAATTAAATACATTTAGCTAAAATAATCATACTGGAAAAATTACGAATAAATGTTCACTATTTTATAATGTTCATTAGAGAGAATTTAATTATAATGAGTTGATTATTAATTATTTATAAACATAATTGTATTTTGTAAAGGCGTTAGCAAATGAAGTCGGCGATTCTATTTTACAAAAAACTGTGAACAGTCATACAGGATTGTCAGATCGCAGAGGACGAGCCCAATACATAATATTATTACAGCAAAAAGTAACTCAACTCCAAGAAAAACTAAATCTAAAAAACAGCACAAATACAAATGATTTCGATGAACTTCAATGTAAGTACTTGGATAGGAGAAAATAATAAACTTCGATTTTTTTATGAATCGATTTATTTTGCGTGCATGAGTAGATAAAAAAGCAATAGAAGATGTGAGACGGGAAGAAAGAGAAAAAAAATCGCTTGTCGAATTAGAACTCAAATGCGCTCTAAAGAGAGTTAATGAGCTAGATACATCTTCTAAAAAATGGGAAAGTCGATGTAAAGCTCTTGATGTAGAAATGGCAGTTCTTAGAGATCGGCTTGAAAAGATTCAGTTGAAATTTCAACATAATGAAAAAATCATCGAAGAACAAGAAGTGCGTGTATAAGAGACAACCCTGCTGATACTATATTTTTACAAAACTTATTAATTCTTTATTATTTTCATGAGACTCTACCTTATTTAATGTATAGGGTAAATTAAAAACTACCAATGAAGATACTATTCGTAAACTAAATAAGTTAGAAAGGGACAATAAGACTCTTTGTCAAAGGCTCGAAGAGGTAATTTAAGTTACGCCAATTCACATACAAACATTTTTTATTTACTTCATCTTTTAGGTAGAAAAGACAATTGAGGAAGAAACAAAAAAGTTATTAAGCAAAGATTTGGAAATTAAACAATTACAAAATGAGTTAAAAATGTGTAAACCAATTATGTAAGTGACTTGATGAATTTATTATTAAATATACGTACTGTTAAAAATCTAAAAGTCAGAAGTGTGTTTTTAATGAGAGCATACCAAGTAAAATTATTTAAAAAATGTATATGTGACACATAATGTCTATATTAATTACGTGTAACTTCAATATTACTCGGCTGACAAATTATATTTAAGATATGACACAGTTTAAGAGCGTTGTTGGACTCCGTTAAACTAGATGCTCAATACAATATTTTGGCGTGACAAATTAATGCCCAACAAATTTGTATGGGAGTAGATTTGAATCATTTTTAAGTTTTTTTGACTTTTCAAAAAATAACACATACTATTTAGAAAAATTACAGATGTACCTATCTCTTCAGTTTTATTCTAATGTTTCGAACTCGTTGCAAAGTTCTTCTTCAGAATGATAGGTACAAACCTGAGCTTGAACTTTAAGGTTGGCTTGCTCGTTGAGTTCATTTTTATATTATAATCGGTTGATTATCGATAAACTTAATAATGACTATTTGTTGTTATTGATAGTGTTTTTGTTTATGTTTTTGACATTCTTAACATTAATCTATTTATTCTACACTGATAACTTTCAGATTTTTTCATTATAACTTTTTACATATTAAATTTTGTTCTCTATTATGTCGTAATACAAAACAAACCACTAAAGTGTAGTGCAGGTACGAAGATGAAGACGAATCTACTGCCTGGATATACACGTACGAATAATTGTACAGCAGTTACTGTACTCGACTGACACTCCGGATAGGCTGTGGGTGTTGAAAGGCCGTTGTTATTGGGTAAGGGTAACAACTAGGTATGAGGTGCAGACGAAGTGCAAGACACAAGTACTCTGAAATGTCGAGTATGAGAGTAAGTAGGTGAAAAAGAAGAACAAAGACGTGACTTTATACTGTAAGCCGGATAGCGACAGCCGAGTACTGAGACTGATGAATGACACAAAGCAAAGGGCTGCGTACTGGAATCGACTAATCACAATGATCAGGTCCTTTGGGTTTAAATTATATTTTGGATGATTGCTAATTTTGTATTAACCATTTTTTATTGTTAATTCATCAGTCGCTAGTAACGGATGTGCTGTCTGTATTTTATAATAATAATTGTTTACAAAAGTGGTAACGTGAAACCATCACAATTGTGTAATCTTCTTTTTTCTTAGTGAATGATAAGTAACCAAGTCTTGTTCATTTTGCATCCACCTTCTCTGTAATAATTTTCTAGAATTTTTTTATTTCCATTACTTTCTTGTATAAACATTTACTCTGTTAAGCCGTGGATAGGTGATTCAATCTCACTAGACGTATTTTGATTAATAATAAACACAATAATTGAGGTTATTATGAAGTGAACTGTATTAAACGATACGTATATATAAATTAAATGGTATGTTCGCTCGAGAGCTCCTAAGTTACGTTACTATTGTTACTTATCATAAAAACATCGCCCGATTTCTTAATCGCTATATAATACTATAAAACTTCTTTGACAAACCGCGCCCCCACATACTCAATAAGCTTTATTCAATATTTTGATCTATTTGGTTAAATTGAATTTTGTGTTCACTGTTTTTATTTTGTCCGTTTACTTGGAATTTGAACACTCTTTGGTAGACCACATCCTTTTTAATCTACTTTTGTTCTTGTTGCAATTGCTCTTCCTATTCATCCAATGTATAACTTGCCACATGACCATGGTATTGAAAACCTTTGTATTTTTAGTAATTTGTCTTTTGGACTCGGAGTGTTCTTTTACGACTATAACGTTTTGTATCGTGTTAAATTTATCTAGTATTACTAATTGTGAGTAACTTCCTAACCTTTGTCTGGCTTTTAGATTTGTTAATAATAGTTGAATGGACATTCCATAATTCATAATTATTGAAAAATTTTAATTTCCTGCTAAAAATATGGAATAATATACATTTTTTTTATAGTTATAATATCCAACTTTTTCAAAAATCTTTCCTTATTTGAATGTCTCATGTTTTGCTAATTATATTTTATTATTTAATGTTTAAATTATTATTTCTATTATTTCTATTATTTTATTTTATTTTTCTTTGTTTTATTGATTTAATAATTACTTGAATAATATAATTATTAAATTATTATTTAATAAAATTTGACCTCTATTATATTCCTCCTAGAATAATAATAATTTCGATAATTTTTTTTTGGCTTTTTAAGTAGAATTTATTATTAATTTATTAGTGGTTAAAAATGTTTAAATTATATTATATTTAAATTATAAAAATTATCCAATTAGGAATGTAACTAATTTAAGGCTAATAAAATATATATGTTACCATTGAAAAAATAAATTTTATTATTTTATAAAGGATAGGTCAAGAGCTTAAAAATATTAAGCTACTTATAAAACAAAAAAAATAACCAGTATTTAAAAGTTTCATAAAATTATTATTTTAGTAGAAATCTAGTGATCAATGATAAATAAATTGTCCTTTATTTTGTATTAAAAATTAATATTCCTAATAATACTAATATGTTAATCAATTATTACAATTTTATATTTATTGATTTTTTTAGAATAAAACAAGAAATGGATTTTTCAAATATTGTTAACGAGCCAATACATGTAATTGATTACTATCAATTTATACCTATGGTAATATAAATGTTACATGTAGCTCAAATTTTAATTTACAGAAATTTAAACAGCTTGAAAATCAACAACTATTAGAATTATTACTCAAAGCCAACACGGAAGTTCGTGAAAAAATTTTACAAACTACAGATCTTAAGGTTAGCATAGATATATTCACAAAAAGAATAAATTTATGTCATTAAATAATATGAACACATAAGAGTAACGGGGGGAATGTCTGCCACCTAACCTGTATTTGAATATACTCAGATGTTTTTCATCTTAAAAGGTGTAGGTTATATTATATCAAAACTTAAAGTTCTTTAAATTAATATTTATATATAATATTGATTTTTAAAAAAATTGAATGTGACCAGCGTTACATAAGGGTAATACTGTTCATATTGTAACTCCATTTAAATATTTAAAAAATCAAATTTAGTATAATAGAAATATACAAATAAATAGAAATTAATATTTATGATTGTATATATTTCTTTCAATAACTCATTAACTGTATTAATTTATTAATAATTTTACTTAAATTAATTTAATATCGAGAACTGGGGTAATGCCGGTAATGGTTTTTATTTAACTCAAAAATTCTTTGTTTTAATATTATGGAATTTTTTGGAAATAAAACTTTAATATATTGATTATAGTATGTAAGGTTACAAATTTGTTAAATTAAGATTTATTTAGTAATGAATTATAGCCGGTATCACCCCTTTAGAATCACTTGATAATCAATTTATTTCATTAAGTAAAACCATTTATCATTATTTTTAAAATAATAGTCAATCCTTTGCGAAATATAAAAATAATTATACACATGTGGTAGAAAAATATCATAGAAATTCTTACCTAAAAAGTTGAAAATCACGAAACTTTAATGTCACCGTCAATGAAAATATGGAAATGTTTTGGTGAGAAAAAATTATTATATTATCATTAATCATCATATTTTAAGTAATGATAATAACGATAATCTTGCTAAGCAATCAATATCGTACCCAGTAATTCAGTTAAAAAGAAATATGGGGGACCGGTACTACCATAAGCCGGCATTCTCCCAAGTTCTTCTACATATAAGTGTTATCAGATCTTACTGACAATGCTTAAACTTTTGATACTTCTTAGACTACGTTCAAAACATATTTTTGATTATTTATCATTAATAAAAATATTAATTAATTTTTAGCTCTTTTCTTACAAACAAATTTGTCGAGTCAAAAAATAATCCTATAAATAAGAAAATATTTTTTATATTCAGCGTGAGTCTCATGTCAAATAAAATCATTTCATTAAATATTTCCTGATCTATTTGATATTATTTGATAAATCTATTATTTGATATTTAAATCGTACTGATCTTTTAAATATTTCATAGTATACAATAAATAAAAAAGATTTTAAACAATTGAATAGTGCGTATTTCTTGCATATATATGCTTACTTATAATTAAAGAAACAGAAACAAATTACTTACCAAAAATTATTTTGTATTTATAGTATCTATTGTATATTTATCTATTAATCAATGAGATTCTTTTTATTGTCTAAAATTTGTAAAATGTAAATTATGTATACATTTTAGAAAATAAGCATAAATTAATTTTATAGTTTTTATTTTTTTAGTATTAACTGTTTTCTCTAACAATTTTAGATAACTTTTTTTATTACTAGATTGAATTAGCAAAACAAAAACAAAAAGTGAAGAGAACGGAATCTAAAACAGGAGGAATGAGAACAGTGTCGTCCAAGACGTGTAGTAATACGAGTCGGCCTATGTCATATAAATCTACCTATGAATCAAAACAAATTTCAGTGAACCAAATTCAACTTAAGTATGTCATATTATTTTGATTTTTAACATAAACAGAACTATGTGTATGTTTTTTTCATATTATTATGAGAATATACTTGTATTCAATAGGATAGATATACTGAACGAGGAGAATGCCGCATTAAAAACACACATTGATACTCTCACAATAATCAACAAGGACCAAGAAAGACAGTTTGCTAAATCATTAACCGAATTAAATAAAAAAATTAAAACAATTATCCCTTGCAATTGCACAAAATTTATTAAATCAGATAATTAAATTTCATAAACAACCCAGAAATTACTTCGATGAGAAAATTAGTAATAGGTAGTTGTCAGTTTTGACTATAATTTAATAAAAAATAAACATCAGTACTATTATATTATACTATATTAATATTACAAATAAATTTTTTTTCTAAAATCTACTTAAAACAAACCTAAGAATTTAAAACATAAAAAAAAAACTTTTAGACCTTTATATCAAAGGTTATGAAAACTTAGTTGGATTAAGGCATCGGGTTTTATATCTTTTATAACATAATATTTCTCAATCACGTTCCTTCCCTTCCTATGTATAAAAAAATCATATTTTTTGAAATATTGGTCTGTGATGTATAAAAAACATACTTAAAAAAATAAATCAAGAAATGTATATAAAAAAATCCCAAAAAATTGAAGTAATTATTAATTTAAATAAATAATATTATAATTTATTATTAAACATGCTTACATACATTATTTATCGTAATTGTATAATATAAGCATAAATTCAATATTTTATAATATGCCTAAAATTTATCATGTAAATTTTTTAATAAGTTTTTGAATACAAAGACTTTCAAATATAGAGATTAAAGAATTGCTCTTGAAGTATAATAACAATTTATTTTTCTTAAACAATAAACAATGTAAACTGACCAAATATTATAATTAAACCAAATTATAAAATCAATACAAAAAGTGTTGATTTAGCTAATATGTTTAAGTCAATTTTTGTTATAATATCTTAAATTGTATTTAAAAAATAAATTTAACAATTATATTGTAAAAGGGAAGTTGTTCTGGATAGATTTACTAAATAACTTTGATTAAATAAATTAATTATCAACGTTACTATGCTTAAATTAAAGTGAATTACTTTTATTTTAATTTTACTTGTAATAAAGCATCATGAACTCTTGGATTTTTTTAAACAAAACTGTGATGAACCTACTAATGTATTATACTTTGCTATAGTGAGGTTTATTTTTGAGTATGCTTCTTTTGTTTCATCTCCATCACAAATTGTGAAAATTCAATTTTTAATTTAATATATTTCTAGATTCATCAATTAATTAATACTTTTTTAATTCATTCCTTATACCTTATAAAAGAGTCAACATTAATTTTTTAATGGCAACATACATATTTAACTAGGTTAAAAATAATAGATAGTTAAGAAAATGACTGGTCGATAACAACTTTTTGATCTATACTTGGAAAGTTAACATTTTTATACTTTGACAGGAGGAAAAGTGCGAACAAAATATGTCTAATAATATTATTATATGCGTATAATATTATTATTATACTTACCCGTTTATAATTTAAAATCATCATAATTTTTGAAATGCTAGTCCATAAATTGTTATTGGCAAGTCGTTTTTTAATTAAATCATTTTTCATTTTATAAGCTAGTGTAACATGTAACCTTTATAATAATAATAAAATAAAATCATATTTAAAATTCTTTCTCTATTGTTAATAAAATTCAAAGATATTAAACAAAATAGTTATAAATACTAATAAGGGTTGAAGCAGAATAGAAAAGAGGTAATCAGTATAAACTAGTATAGCACTACTTAGTTATTAGTAAAATAACAATCTGTAATAATATTTAACTGTTTACTATTATTATAATCAAACAAAAAATTATAATAATATTGGATTAAAATAAAAATTAGATTTTAATACAATCCTTGCAGTCACCAAAACCCCTTTTAGGTTTTGAATGTTAACATTCAAATTATTATTTTTTAACTTCGATGCGAAGCTGAAAAGGTATTAATTTTATTTTTATTTTTTTTTTGTCTGTTACTGCTTTTTCTCAGCTCTCACCGAACCGATTTCTTTAAACAATACGTCAAAAGATCACAAATCGTATCTAGTCGAAGATATTACCCTCAAAAATTGGAAAAATTTCCCTAGTTCCCCGTAAATGGAGGAAATCTCCAAAAAATTACAAACTTAAAAATTGCTAATTTTCGACATTTTTTCAATTTTTTTTACTAAAAACTGCCATAACTTTTTTTAAAATTACCAAATTGATATAAATTTTTTTTTATAGATTCATGAGGTATTTACCTATTATTTTGTATATTATTTTTTATAAATGTAACCTGCCCACAAAGGGGTGATTTCACATGAAATGACCCCATAATATATGTGATGGTGTCACGTTACCATTATTGTGAGAATTATAATAAAATACAGACGGCACATCCGCTTCTCCTGAGACTGATGAATTAACAAATAATATTTATTGCCAAATTGGCAATAGTTCAAATTATTATAAAAACCCAAAAGACCTGACCATCATGGTCAGTCGACTCCAGTGCCTTGTCTCGGTACTCGGTTGTCGCTGTCCGGTATACTGCTTAAAGTAAAGTCATTGTTTTTTCCTTTTTAAACATATCAACTCTCTTTCACAACATTTCAGAGTACTTGTGTCTTTCACTTCGTCTGCACCTTATACCTAGGCGTTACCCTTATTCCCTTCCTATAACAACAGGCATGTGAATACCTAGACAGCAGGCACCACATCCTCATCTTCATCTTCGTACACATTACATTTACACTTCCCTCATATTGTGTTACGACATATAATATATAAAGAAAAACCAGATAGTGCATTTTTTGTAATGGTTGGGACAACAAAAGATGTTTTTTTTTCTCCTTTTCCTTTTTTTAATTTACCTGCAAGGTTCTTTAACTATGCCGCATCATTATGCTATATTGCGTTTTACTTTAATTATTTATTGCTAAATATATAATTTACATATACGACTAACTATCAATTTTTTATGTTTACTTAAATATATCATTATTTTTTAACTAAAAAAAAAATTAAAAATTGCAGTGATGAAAAAGCACAGGAAAATATTTTTTAAAGTGTTTAGGAGAAACTATTCATTGATCTCAACTCTCATACTAAAATAAAATCAAAATACACATAAAAAACATTTTTAATTAAAATTCAATCTAATTTATTACAAATACATAAAACATAATTATAGTAAACATTTAAAAGAAAATATAAACATTTAAACAAAACATTTAATATATTATAATTTAAATTATTTTTATGTTGTGTCAAGGCAAGATGATCACATGTTCATACAATTTAAGGCACTTACACCTTTATATGGTGTATGCTGAAAACCAGGCATATTAATCACAACAAATCCATTTTGTTAGGAATCATTTTTTAGATAATATAACGTCTTTTAATCTTTTAATTTTCTTTATTACACCCGGCGGCCACTGTGCGGTGCGTGCAGGTGGGTGGGTTCCGCACATGTCGTCGTCGGAAAGAGGAAAAAAATTCCTCTTTCGAGCAAGCACCAAGCTTAATCAGTGTGGCCGCCGTAGTTAAGCGCGGATGGGTGACCGTTGTTTATTTGACCTCGTGTACGCTAATAAATATGAAATTGTATATAAAGCGTCGATTCATTCTGTGTAATCGACGAGTTCTTTACAAGTCTTTACACAAGTTGTTAGTGACTAACGTATGAACGATTCTTTTTCAAACGAAAATAATGGAAACATTTACGAAACAATTACCAGAGACGACCGAAAAACTTTTAGAGCGAATGACTTCTCCAACAATGTTCTCGAGAAAATTCGGTAGAATTGGTGAAATCTACACAGGGGTCACAGATGACACTACAATTAACAACTCCTGTACGGAAAGTGAGACAGACGATACCGAAAAAAAATCTTTCTATGAAACGTCAAGTCTCGGAGAAGAAAGCTTTGACGAAGAAATTCGAGCGGGATCAAAGTCGGGAATCGCTCCGTCCGGACATGGAATGTAGTCAGGTATGTAAATTTTTTATACAAAAAATAATGTATACTATCTAATACTTGTCAAATATATTTATAGAGGTTTTGAATGTCTCCTCCTCGTTTGACAGCGTGTCAGAGAGATCCATACAAAGGATGGACCGAAAATTTAATTACGCTAAGAGAAAGTTTTAAATTGTAACAGAAACGAAGCGTTGGTAATTCTCCAAAAAGAACTGCCGTACGACTCGTCGATGATGGCAACAGTGGCCAAATTAATCTATTTCATACACGAAACAGAAGACTGAATACCGACGGTTATTTATCTTCTTCTCCTCTGGTTACTGGCCATCGATTGGGCAATACTGTCACCAAAACTATGGACAACAAAGACTTATAAAACACACAAGAGCAGTTTGGTCCAACCATGAGCTTGTTGTTGGGAAAGGCGTGAAAGCGTTTGGAAGCACTGGCGGAGTATTCAAGTAGGGCAACTGTTACGAGTTCTTCAGACAGAAGAACTCGTTACAGATCATGGGTACTCGTGCCTACTGAACCTGGAGCAATTCGCAGATGTATTGATGAGCTCACAGGTATGGTTAAAAGGTTCAGTAGAACGAGTACCCGTTTAGACTCCACAATTGTCTTGTCAACGCACGACGACCACATCCACATTACGCACACCTGTCCTAATACAAACGGAGCTTGTAGGTGTGCGTGTTAGAAAGCGTCGTCGTTCTCAAACGCCTTTCTCCGAAGAGAACTCAGACGACGAAGCCGAGTCGCTGATCTCCAAAAAATCGATTGGCAAGCAATCTTGGTAAATATAACATGTGTAATTATAATAGACATATTATAATACAATGTCATTTTTACAGCTCTTGTTCAACGCTCAACTTAGTTTCTACGTTATATGTTTAATTTCTTTCGACGTTTACGAGACTATGGACAATTTGTTGAAACCGACAGCAGCTTCCGAGAAGACCGAAAAATTATTGGAACGGATGACGGCACAGAAATCATGTTCGAGGGAAGGCTCGGTAGATTTGGTGAAACCGCTCCATGGAACTCAAATGACATTACAAGTGACAAGTCCAGTAAAGAAAGTACGAACAGTGAACAAAAAACCGATTATGAAACGTCAACAGTCTGCGAAAGCAGCGATGATGAAGAAGTACGAGCGGGAGACAAGTCGGGCGTCGCTCAGTCCAGATATGGAATGTGGTCAGGTAA